CCAAATCACCAAACAATGTATGATACGTATTGGTATAGAGGATTATAGAATATAGACTATTGTAGAAGGACCTCTCTCCCAGTTTCTGATTTCTTTTTTGGGGGGTGACCCTCCCAATGACCTGAGCGGACATCCTTGGTCGAAGACCTCTTGGAAGGCTTGGTGTTCCCTTTAGCACGCATCAGACTGTCTATAAATCCACCAACAGTTGGTGGAACGGACCTATTTACCATTGTCCACACACATGAAAAGCGTTTGCCTTGATGGAGATGAGCAGGCCATTCACGTCGCTATACCTTCACCAATTGTGTTGGGTGAAAGGTCCTGATAGGTTGCCGCACGGTGCCTTCCGCGTTGCATACCAAATTCACCCAAAGAAATAGGTTTATTGAACAACACACCTATTGTACAACATCATACCACATTCATCAAAGCACATACATCAAACATGTGGCGTTTTTGAATCATATTGAAGAACATACAAAACACCATCCAGCCAGATGATGGGACGGTTCTTTGAAGCATCCGCCGGGACGTCCATCCGTTCGGAGGCGTCCCCCTGGGCCCAACGAGCGATGCTCCGGGTCTGTGAGGAGCTGTCCGGGACCGAGAGGAGGAGCTGTCCGGGCGGAGCCGGGCGGCGACAATACAAACAAGAGGAAGAAAACGATCCGAGGCCGGATGGTTCTACATGAAGAATGACACTATATATGACCATTGCATAGAAGTTTTAATGACTTCTATTGACCATGTGTCCATTTTGGGGGACAAAAAGAGGTGACGCAATTTTGTGGTTCATTCGCCAAGTTGACCCTGAAGAATGTGAGGTCGCATGGTCCAAGCATCAGAAGTCACATATAAGACACTTCAGCGGGAAGAGGGCTTGGTAGTTATAATTGTGTCTCTTCCAACGGGTCACCAATGGACAACCCTACCCTACTTATAGGTATCCAGACAGGGCACCCATTGGAAGTGCTAGGTATAATAGGCTGTATTTATTTTTCGAGCAGCCACTGTGATCCCCTGTAGGATTCTAAGGGAAAACGGATTAAAGCTTATGTTTTTGCATGCTGGTTGCTACATGTTACTACCAACCTTTGTTATCCTTTGTTATCCGTTGTTTCGTTGTTTGTTTGTTTGTTTGTTTGTTTGTGTGCATATGTGTACATCAGGATCTCAGTTGCTTCTTGAGCTGTGTGTTGACTTGTGACTTTTCCTTGTTTGGGCAGGGTTTGGGGGTGGGCACGCAATCAGTCACTGTTAACCCTTGAGCACATCGCTAAAGCTTAATACATGTCAAATCGGAATTCGAGAGGGTAAACGCTGTGGCATTCTCATTGCATGGAACTCGTGCTGGGACCCCGGCACACCGGATGGAATGAGTTTTGCTCAGACACTTCATGTTTATATATGACTCATAGAGTTTACAGTCATACTTATGCAGTTCATGCTTTCTTTTTGTCAGTACCCACATCAGCGGGCTTTGAAGGGTTCAATGGAGGCTTTGGTTCCACAGAGCGGGTCTTTGACAATAGCTGAATAGCTTTCATATGCCCAGACACGACTGCAAGAGATACCGCCCCATTGACCCCTTTTTTTCCAACCACCCAGCCGGTCCATTCAACGAACCTCCAAGAATTCCTATTTGGGATGAAGTGGCTTTCATTCCCCACGGAATGTGTGTTTTTTTTTTGGGGGGGCCAGTCTGGGTCCAAGGGTTTGGCTGTGGGACGGGGTCAGTTTGGGTTTGTTCCAGCAAACCAGTTCCATCCACTCGCCGTTCCATCGCCTCTCCCTCCATCCCGAGGCCGCAGAGCCTGCAGGTCATCGGCCAACAGTGCTGGATCCGCGACTTCCGCCCCGAGCCCCGAGCGCGTCCGCGTGTCGGAAGCTGTGGCTTTCACCGGGGGAAGTGGTGACACCTGCATGAAAAAGCATGGAATGGACGTCAGTTCCGGAAGTGGCGGGAGGGTGACCTCCTTTGGGCATCCGGAGGTCAAACGGCGACGTGTTCAGCGGTTTTGGACGGTCTTGCTGATGGACGGCTAGAACATGCTAGACTCAGTGAACTTGGCCTTGTGCCCAAGGGACAGGGGCGCTTTTCGAGACCCACCAAAGTGCAACCACTGCAGCTTGTAGCTGGGCCCATCCATCATTCAAAGTCACCACAACTCACAGTAGAGGAGTTCGTCACTGATTTATATACACCACTGACTTTTAGAGCCCCTATGCCTTCAAGGACCACTAAAGTTGCTCGACCTGGTTTTTGTAATCTACACATCTACCACCCCACCCTTAGTCAAACTTTGTTAGCTTCGAGAGATGCTCGTTGGGATAGGCCGGGTATGGTTTCATGGTTTCTACTTGGCACGCTGTGGCCTCCTCCGCGGCAAGGCCATCATGGTTCTCCGACGTGCACTCTTTGGAATCATCAGGAGAGTGGAAAAACCTGTCACCCAAAACCACCTGGTCCAGACAGCTCAGCTATAAGGGACATGCCGCCTTGGTCCGGTCCGCCTCGGGATCCGGTAGGGAGAACCGGTAATTCGACCTCCGATGAAATAGGGATATTTAGGGATCCTGAGGGAATTATATTCATATTTATATAATATATACATATATAGATGTATGTGTGTGTTCCACTGTATCCCATTACCAGCGCCCAGTGGATGCTGCTTCGTCGGCGTCAGCCGCTTCGTCAAGGCACCTGGCTCTACAGCCGTCGGCAGAAGTTCCCGGTCGAGCGTCGGGGGGCCCGAACGGTGGGCCGGAGTGGTTTGGAATGGCCGGAAAACAAGGGTGTGTCGTTTTTGTTGAAGCACCCGTTTTCACGGCCATCCGCAACCTAGAGCCAGACTTGCAGTTAACTAAGTTGTTGCAGACTTGAATGTTGTACCACTCAATTCCTTCACAGCCATCACAACTGCTGAGGCTTCTTGGATTTCCACCAGACTCTGAAGGAGTTCTTGGTCACCTCTCCCTCGGCCTCGTCAGTGCGCACGCCTAGTGTCAATGGTCAACGAGGGCGTCCGCGTTGGTGTCGTGGAGTATGGAAAGTGATGTTTGGAAGTGGGTCGTTGGATGTCATTGGATATTTAGGAGGCCATCCTGTCGAGAACTCTTAATATCCCTGCAGTATGTATGTTCCTTTATTGGTCGGGATTAGTGGGTTGCAGTATGCAGCTATCCCGAAGCAGTTGTTTATCAGACACTCTGCACATTTCACATACATGGCTATTATCCAGTGTAACCCCACAAAGTACAACTGGCATCAACTGGCCAACCTTTTTTGTCTAGCCGATGATGTTGGCAGAGCCATCATGCATTACAATAAACAACCACATGACATACCAGGACACCTTCTTGGGGGGCCCTGGTGCATGCTAACCATGGCCTAAGCTCCGCATACGTTACGTGTGGTAGACGTATATAGCTTGAATATGTTTGTGGTCTACTTCGGGGGATGAAGGATTTATTCAAAAAGCACATATATATATATATATATCGTAATGTTTATAGTTCATATTCATGTGTAATACCATACAACTTACCATATAGTATATACATGACCGCAAAGGCCCAGAGACACTCAACTGGGAGTGTTTTGCTTGTTCGAAGCCCTTCATGCGGGGCCGGCCTGCGTGCGGAACTTGAGGCAATGTGGTTCAATGAGGGCAACAACCTCACGGCCACGATGTTTAACTTCCAGGTGGCTTGAGGGATCTTGCGGGGTGGCGGATTAAAAGAACCTCGCTGCAGCTGGATGGTCAGGGCCTCACAGCAAATTTCTGCCAGTTGGGTCTCCGGTCTTTGAACTCAATGTTTCAACTGGACCTTGACTCCAACAAGCAATTTCTGAATCACGATCTTTCAGAATTTCACAACCATGTCCAGTTTGGGTGCCCAACATGCATTAATGTGTTTTGTTTGTTTGTGCTTGTTTTTTCTTTAGCGCTCTATTAATGACGTTTCTCTTGGCGTCTCTCTCCTTCAGATCTCGCACCCTGACCAACCTCCAGGTCACTCCCACGGACGGGGCGCCGGCCACGCTCCTGAAGCGCGACGAATGGACCAGCTACGCCCGACGGCCCGTTTCTGTCGGCTGGTGGAATGAGGGTGCATTGCAATAGGGAGACCTCCTGTTTAGACCCCGAAGATCGATGAAGATCAAAGATTCGCCAAAAGGCCCGTTGGTTGGAGGGTCCCCCCAAAAGAATGCACACCCATGATGGAACAATCGGCTCATAACTCGGGTGGGTGTAGGAGTTTCTTGTGGAGTTTCAGAGAATTACAATACAGGATCTACCTCACTTGTTTCGCAGGTATATATATGTTCCCTGTTAGCGGGCCTCTAGCTATGAGCTTGGCAGATTGTAAATTCTAGGTGGTACTTGTGCTTTGGCAAAAAGGACAGGGGCTCCGGGATTGGCGCCTTGTCTAGGATCACTCTCCGTCCCGGGGTGTTCAGGCAGTGTGCGCATCAAAAGATCATCAGTATGCAGTATGAGGATTGATGAGGATGCTCTTTTGATGCACAAGACAGAGACAGATAAGAAAGATCTATATAAGATTCTAAGATCACTCCAACCCAAGATGGTTAGATCGAGTCCTCATCAATCCTCACGTCGTCATCCTTGTGTCCAAACAGAAGAGCCTCGACAGGAGTCCTAGGAGTCCTGGGAGTCCTGAACCATGCCCAGCTGGTGCTCCGCCGTCCCAGCTTGTGAGGGAAAATGCAACGTTGAACACACCTAGCCCGGGGAAAGTGCTTCACCATAGTTCACCCGCAAAACCTGTTTGAGGGTTTTGGGGACGTCTCCCCACCAAACAAAAAAGGACCAGCGTGGCACCATTCGCTTCAGGTGGATGGGCGGGCAATCTCTGGCTCGGTGCTAGGTCTGGTGCTCGGTTCTTGGTGCTTCTGGGCCCCAGCTTCGCCCGCCTCTTCCGCGCCCCCACGCGGTGCGCGCGGAGCGTGGGGGGGGGCGGACTCGGCGCCCATGGCGCCAGCGGAACTGCCTCAGCTAGTGCGGGAGGCGTTGGCGAAAGGCGGGGACATGAGTGACATGAGTGAGGAGTGAGGATCACAGCCAGGTGAGCAGAGAAACAGCCAGGAAGTGTGACTTGACATGACAACGCTCTCCAGTGCATCCGGCGTCCTTCGGTATACCTAATATATACTAAACACTACATGAGCGACCATCAAAGCATGGCTCACCCGCGTGAGCTGGAGATGTGAGCCGGAAACGCCGCCTGAGCCGAATTGGCCCAACAAAAGCAGTTCCAGAGATGCGCCTCACCTTCCGCGATGCCCCTACTTGTACCTCAGGACGAACAAGTTGTTCAAGCTCTTTTCAGCAGTCATCTCATGTTGGCAACTCGGGGCTTTGAACTGACACCGGCACCCCAGTCCGCGATGCCTTCTGAGATCGTGCCAGTCCACCACTTGCCTGCTTGAACTGGGTGATCCAATGCCACGAATGTCAGCTGACCTTTGCTATTGGATTTTATTCTCTTTGGCTTGAGTGAAGATTGTTTCTTTTTTGGCGTTTCCTCTGAGAACTCTGGCAAACACGCACGAAACGTACACTTGTTTGGTTGAAATTTGCCCTTGCTAGCGGCAAGAAAGCGTTGCCTCCCCAGAGTACTAAAGATATGTGATGATATGTGGATGTTTGATCATGTTTGTAAAATAGATGTCATCCATAGAGTGCTTGCGAGGATTGCTTGCCCCAGCGTCCCTTCGATTGCTCGCAGGCGACCTGCCTCGTGCGCAGGCACGACGCGGCGCCAGCGGCGCCGCAATGGATGATAGATTGGGTACCATTGGGGCAACCCATATCAGCCCAAATCCCTCCAGAGTGTAGAGTCTTGATTGTAGTTCAAGTTTGGGGGAGTTACAGTGGTTTTAGAGTACAGTAGATGGCACTGGCACCTCAAGATTCTTTTTTATTGGGGGACAACTAAACACCGACATTTGGGGGCCCTTGCGCCATCTACTCTGAAACCACTGGTTGGTCTAGATCAACAACCCCTACTATAAGCATCTAACCAGCCTGTAAGTTGGTGGTGTCCCATTACCTGTAACAGTCAGTAAACCAGCATCACTAATCTATTTTAGACAAAGGCCTTTAATCATCATCATCCACTGTCCACTGGACCCAGGGAATAGGATAGACCCAACCTGTAAGCTCCAAAAGGACTGGACTTAGCTCCGCCAGGAGCTGGCGGAGGACGGGTTGCGCCTGGCGCGGGAGGCGCAGGACCCAGCGTCAGAGGCCTCGGCGTTGGAGGCCCCCGTCCCGTCCTGTGGGTTTTGTGAGGAAGATTGGTAGACGGAGATGATTCATTGCTTTTACATGTAACAAATGCACTGTGAATCTCTGAAGGCAGATTCTACGATGCAGACTTTTGATAGACTTTTGATCAACCAAGACCTTCATTTAACCCCCAATGATATGGGGAGTGAACTAATTATAAGCAAAGGAGGAGTTTGCGTTAGAGAGAGCATGTTGAATGTTGTTTGTAATTACAGGATTTGAACAAATGTGTTAATTTCCACTTGTTCATGGTCGATGCCCCCCAAAACAGAACAAGGTTTAGAAGTGTCCTGTGCCCGTGGTTTTTTATTGTTTTCACCGTGGATCGCACAGGTATGGTATGGTGGTGTTCTTCCCTTGATAGCTTCCAAGGTTTCCCGTTGCCATCCATGCTTTCCGACGATGTCGCTTGCCTGAGGCGCAGGTGGCACTGCACGTGTCTCAGGGCCTTCTGAGTGAAGCGGTGAAATGTGCCAAGGACCACAGCAAGGGGTGGGAACTTCCCTGGCTGATTGCTAGGACGAGAAAGGGGTGAACTTCCCTCAAGGCGATTGCTGCATGACAGGTTTTTGACGTCCCCTCCCAACAAGATTCGAGCTATATACATGAAGTTTCTGATGTTCCCTCAAGTTGTTAAGCCACACAAAGTTGTTCTTGGGGAAAGGACAGGGGGATACTGTATATCGAATGTTATTGCAGCTTCATCATTCATGGTTCTTGGTTTGCAGACGGGTTCCGTCAATTGTGCAGCCAAAGGATCCATAATAAGGGTCCAATGGAAGTCCAAATCCAAAGCTATGGTTGTGTTGGGCGGGTTCTAAAAGATTGAGCACCCGGGAGCCATGGTTTTCTCATTATGTGAGCATTATCCATTTGGCATCCTGGTTTGGCATTCGCCCCGGAAACGAATGTTCCGCTTCGAATTGTGTGCATATGGGCCCACAGGCCCTTGGCTCAAATCCATCCCCTAAAAGTGTCATATCAAGGGACCTCCCTTGCGCATTCTTTGGGGGATGGGGGAGATCAATTGTTGGATCATCAATCTGGTCTACGAGGGAGGAGTCATAGACTTTCATGACATTTCATGACCATCTATGTAGAAGTACGACTCTGAATGCCTGCATGAGGTGCCGTGCAAAAGCACTCCGCAACACACAGACACACAGCCCAGTGTTCTCGTTTCCCGCCCTCTCCCCGTACGCCGGCACCGCTCACCCGCCAGGACTCGGCGAGCCGTTTCGAGGACTCGGCGAACAAGGAGAGCCAAGTGCGGCTGCTGCACCTGGCGGCGCAACTCTCACTGCGACGCTCGCGGGGGTTCAGGGGGGCGCGGGGTGGAAGGGATGGAGTGTGGGGAGCTTCAAGGTGGAGGCCACCAGGCGGATGCCGGGTAGGCGGAAGGGGGGAAGATCTGGCACAGCAGGGTAGCAGTTCTGAAGCTTTTGGCATGTGAAGCTATGTTCCTCCTAGGAGTCAGGATCCCTGATCTGTAACAGGATCACTTGGTAAACCCAGGGTCAAGCATGTTTGGTCTGTCCTGACTCCTGATTGGGGTCCCCAAGTGATGACTGTACAACCAGGAGTCAGGATCCTTGTCACCGCATCACGACCCGACGATCCCGACTCGGTCGTTCGCCTTCGGCACGGGCTCCGCTTCGCCTCTCAAAGGACACGGGGCGCCCTTTGACAAGGCGGTCGCTTGTGCCTGGGCAGCTTTTGCCTTGGCTTCCTTTCAAGAAAACAGAGCACCTGACGGACCTGACGGTCCTGACGGTGTGGCGACCACTTGAAGTGAGAGAAACTCTTCAACAAAAAGCCTCAAGTATATTATGCATTTAATTCGCACATGGTTGTACATGAAATCGACGAATCATTACGAAAAATATTGAACCCCATGCCAACCTTCAACCTCCACACCATCTACATTGTATATACTATACCCTCCCAGCCCATATGCTCAGGTGCTCAAGCGGCGCGAGACGCCCAAGGCAGCGCCTCCAGCGTGGAGGATCAGGTTCTGGTGCTCCAGACCCTCTCGCAAGCGCAGCTGGCCAATGGCTCACCCAAACAGGCGCAGAACGTCCGACCGGACCGGGGCCGACGTCCGACCACGCGCGGCAGGTTTGGGTTTCTCTGTGTTTTCTCTGGTGGGGGCAGCTGCGGAGCCCTCGAGCCCGTATCTGTGGCAAAGATCTAATCTTTTATAACTATATATAGATGTTTTATAATGTAAAATGATGTAGCTATCGAAGAGGTTGTTGTCAATCCGAAGGAGGGTTTGTTATTCAAGATTCAAGAGTGTACATTACAGGTGTTTGAACGTTGTATTTTTTCATGTTTATGATGAGTTTCTACAATGACCTGCATGTGATGGGGATGCATCATTAGTATGGCATCATGGGCCCGTCTTTTTTGAGATCTTTTGAGAAAGTCTACAAAGCCTGAAAACATCACAGACCCACCCACTGGTTAGGAGGGACCCTACTTTCTGGATAAATTTAAATCCTCATGAAACGTACACAAATTGACAACTGAACTTCTTGTTGCTCAGCTGACCAGCCGTCACCCTGCTTACCAGTTCACTTGGATGCTCCATCCAAAAACCTCATCGGCACTCGGCACCTTCTCCAGACCTGCGCCGACCAGCGACCAAGGCATTGGACTCGGCCAATTTGGCCCGCGACCTCAGCCGCGAGCAAGACGACTTTCTGGGGGAGGCGGTGAGCCTCCTCCGCATCGCGGGCGCGCAGGTGCGCGGCGTGCAGGGTGGGGCGCCGGGTGTTTGGAAGTTGAAGATGGGTCTGATTGGAAGTTTCGGGAAATGCTTTTTAAGCTACGGAATCTACGGCGGAATCCAACTGTTTTTCCAGGGAAGAGTGCTCAGAGTCCATTTGTTGCACTTTTTCAACCGGAAAGACTGGGAGAGTTCCGGCGCCTTCGGCTAAGGTCCGCTTGGGCGATTTGGAGAGCGCCCTCAGCGCCGCCTCCGATGCGCAGGTGGGTGCGCGCCCATGCACGCGTAGCGAAACTATCTATGACCCCTCGCTTTGATGGGGCAAGATCCAATTTGGATCGATTTGCTGTTGTTTGTGGTCTATTTGCACGATCAGCCTATTGAACCTGTGAAAGCATCAAGTGTCGGGATCCAGTCGTACCTTCTCAGGTACGGTGATTGAAGACGCTGCTATGTAGGTGCCAGGAGGGTCCAGTCTCACCTTTTGAGAAGGTACGACTGGATCCCCAAAAAGGGGAAAACGCAACATGCTTTGTTTCATGTGTAGATATACATGTATATAACCATCGACACAGGATACCACAGCCATACGTCTTTGGTTTTGCCACTTCCAGACTGGAGAAACATACAGACATACAGACATTTGACCGAACCTTGGAAGGGGAGCTTTCCTCACCCTAGGATTCAAACCACCATTGTTGATTTAATGGGTGTTTACCGAACAACCACAGTTGTTTGTGCTAAGCATTCTAGACTACAGAAACCAGGTCAGCCATATTTTAAAATGGTCGAACAGAAGGCTGCACTCTGACTCACTAACATGAAAGTGGAACTCCCCCCTGTTTGTACTGAATGCAGTCGTCCAAGCACCATGCCATCCACTTCCATGTTACTGAGTGTAAGGCTATTACTGAAACTATAGTTACTTATTTCATGACTAGTAACATAACTAGTTTCTTACTGAAGTCATGTTGCTGGTCTTACTGAGTGTAACATGTCTTCCATGTTTCAGTTACTTATTTCATGACTTCACTTCTCCATCGCTCCCTCGCTAGGAGCTCTTCCGGGAGGTGGGCGACCCGCTGGCCGAAGCGGGCGCCGCCGGACTGGTGGTGCGCCTGTCACGCGGTCGCGCTGTGGGGAATTGGGGCGCTCCAGGTGGTCTTTTCGGGGGTGGGGCGTGGTGAAGGTCCTGTTTATGGTGGCAATGTGGCCAGATATACTGAAGGGAAGGAAGACTGAAATGGGTCAGGCGTGGAGGGAAGTGGTGAGAAAGGCGGGATAGGACAAGCCTGTGGCCAGGGCTGAGATATTTCCACCAAAGGGGTCAGTGGCCAGGGCTGCTGGATGTTGCTGGCTCTGGGCAGATTGTAGAAATCCTTCAAGATATGGATATGGATATGGAAGGTAAAAGGCAGCAACCAATTAAACATGTTTAAATATGAGTCTATTTGCAATTAAGTTATATAGTAATATATAGTATCTTTGGCATTATTCATATTTTTATTTTGTTATTTCCAAGCCGCTACACAAAAGGAGCTTCGAGTTGAACGTCTGATGTTTTCAAGACTATTACCTGAGGCAGGTTGGCTCGCGCAAAGACACGCCACGGACACTGAGGCAACGGGAGCGCCAAGACCTTTCTGCAGCCGCTTGGCTCGGTTTTGGCGGGGTTGTAGGAACCTCTTCGGGTGGGTAGGAGGTGTCGGTTCCGATCCGAGGTTGACAGTGGAGCTGAATCAGAGCCCCCGCCAGCCTGGTGATGTAAAAACCACTCTGGAGACGGGAGGGGGTCAGGGTCAGTGGGTTGCTAAGGCAAGGTTAGCAGCTGAAACTGCTCGAGCTTTGCTGCGACAGATGCTTGGCATGATGTGGTGATGAGTGACTTGAAAGATACACTCTGACTCACTAACATGGAAGTGGACAATGGCGCCTTGGAAGACTATACTGTGACTATACTTTCCCTTACAAACAACGGATTTTCCACTTCCATGTTAGTCAGTCAGAGTGTACCAGAAATAGAGATAATGGCAGCGTAGTTTTCCCTTTGGGCCTCACAGAAGTCTTTCATAGTTTGAGCAGATACTTCAGACAGGACCAGGCATGACCAGGCTATTTGCAACCTTTGCAGGATACCAGCACTCTTTCAAAATTGACCATACTATGCATCACCACTAAAGGAAGACTGGGAGAAAAAATAACTTCAGAAGGGTTTTGTTCCACTTTCCGCCATCTCGGGACCTGTCTTCGAGGACTGGAGAACTTGCTCGAGAAGTCGCTGCGCTCTTGCTGTCTTCGCAGGTGGCGGGATGTAAGGAGTCACGTGATGATAAGGGTTCGCCGGCACTGGCGATAGGGGTGTTTCATTCCGAAGGGCAGGGAGGTGCAGGAGGTGCGGGCAATGGTCGTGGGGTTGTTTGTATGAGTCATGACTTCGCTGTTTCAGCTGAGCATGATATCTACAGTCATGATTAAACTGTATGTTGCTTTCTTTGTAGCTTAGCTGTCAGGAGAAATGGCTATATACACATGGCTTCAAGTGGCTTCAAGCTGTTAGATCCCTGTGGATGGCAAGGAACACATGGCAAGAAGATCTGAGTTTCGCTTCTCTTCCGTGCTCAGATCGCCAGCTTGGAACTGGCCTCCGGCGCTCAGCCGGGCGGCGGCAGCACAGCCCGGGAGTTCTACGAGGGCAAAGGCCGTAACAAGGCGCTTAACAGCGGGGAGAAGCTGTTAGACCTGGAAAACTGACAGGTGAAACTGAAACTGAGTTTTCGAGGGGGGGGACCTCAAAAATGTAACTTACATTTTTTGGGGGGGATCCTAAATGTAACAACTCCCCCCAGGCAAGATTTCAGGGTCTCTGGAGGGGGGCCCTATAAAATGTAACTATGGACCTCCCGGGGCCTATGTTACATTTTTGGACCCCCCCCTGATGTTGCTTTGTTTTTTTTTGGGGGGGGGGTGGAAGAAATGTAACAAGATACCTCCAAGGTAGTCTCACAGGTGTATAGTTACATTTGTTCCCCCCTTTTTGCTTCGTGGAGCTTGCATCTGTATGGAGAGCATTTGGCTCCACGATGGCACATGCCGTTGAGAAAGACAATACCGAATTGGACTAAACGAGATTTTCAAAGATAGAATAGACATGGTAAAATTGTTATTTTGTTTGGCTCTGGCTGGCAGGGATAAGGCTTGGTGATGCTTGGGAGGTGAAAAAATGGTGGATCAGGCAGCAAACAAGCAGGTGGAAATGCAGGTTTTCAAGCCCTGCACAAACACTAAGTTACATTATGTTACATGTATTTCTTTTTGGGCTTGGGAGGTGTGAGACAGGGGGTGGCCAAGCATGTTGTAGTGTGGTGGGCCAATGACTGAGAGATGCTGGAAGAAGGATGCTGGAAGCAAACCCTCCAGTGGCACACAGTTCAGGGAACCATATGAGCTCATATGTGATAATGGAGTATTTCATGCCTACCCAGAACTCACTTACATTTTCTTTCTTGTCCTGTTTGTACTTCCACAGTAGAAGTTGGACCAGCTGTGGCTGGGAGGGAGAATACTGGGCAGTGGTTGGGCGATAGAAAATGTAACTAAGTGTGCCCCAGGCAGCACACAAGCAGGTGGACATGCAGGTTTTCAAGCCCTGAACAAGCCCCGCTTTCATTTGTGAGGCAGGTGATTCAGGTGGTCCCTCCAAACTTGTTGGCAGGCTAGAGCTTGCTAGGACTTGGCATTTCGCTTGGAAATGCTTGTGAGGGACGTGCCACTGTGGGAATGGGGCCGACTGGCCAAAGGCCAGCACTTGGGAAAAGCGCAGAGGGAAAACAGCTATAGTATGCTACAGTTTATGACCTTCAAGATGTAAGTTACAGTTGCAGGCAGACTGCCTGGAAATTGTAACTTACATTTTCCAGTGTTTTCTGAGAAAGTGTAACTTACATTTTCCAGGCACCCTCGAACAGGAAAATGTAAGTTACATTTTTTCAGGTCCCCCCCTGCATAATGGGTAGGGATGATATTATAGATTGAACATGTTCTTTTTTGGTTGACCAATGTCGTACTGCTGGATTGCGCCAACGCTAGCGTTCACACATTCGTCGCTGTTCCTTTGATTCCAGTTTTCGTTCAGTTGGAGACGTTGACCGGCCGGTGTGCGGCGAAGCTTGTCAGCTTGTCGAAGAAAAGGGTTGCTGAATTTCGTTTGGCCGAGCTGTTTTCCGGACTCATGATTTGCATCATGTTGTATATCATGTGGTCTCCATAAAGCTGGGTCCAGGCCTCTCCTCCGTACAAAAAAATGAAGCGTTCCGGCGACCTCCAAGAGTCAGCCTGACCTCTTCGGCCTGACCTCTTCATGGGTGTCCCTTGGGGTCCTGCCTGGAGGTCTTGGCCAAGGCGAAGGAAGCGGTGACTCTGTCGAAACGACTGGGCAGCGAGAACCTCATGGCCATTGCACGCGTGGCCCACGCGCGCGCCAAGGACGCTTGGTGAGACGGTCTGACCTCTTGCGGAGGTGAGGACAATATCATGAGACCGGGCTAATGGTCAAAGCTGGACAGAAAAAGCCTGGGATGACCATTGAAGCATATTGAAGCTCCCTCCTCTTGCCCTTCTTGGCCCATATCAGTGGCTAAGACCAGGGTCTGGGAAGCCCGGACTCCTGCCTTTGGAACATTTTGGAACGCCGTCCTGCGATAGGCATTCCCCAAATTGCCACCAGAATGCCTTACGGATTATGAACATTAAATTTCTTAACGGCTTACAAACTCCAACCAAATACATACATACATACATACATACATACATACATACATACATATGTATTATAATGCATAATACGCCTACCAAAAACATATAATATATATATTATATAATATATATGTTTGTGTGATCATGTACAACACGATAGCTTCATGCAACCAGCCCACAGTCCTGCAACCCCGAGCTTAGCCCGCCTCCCAAGGTCTCCAATGGCTTGCTTGAAGAAGCCATGACAGAGATCAAAGAGGCCATGACGGAGAGATCGCAACGGAACAGACGCATTTGGCATTTTGCAGAAGCCATGCGAAGACTTAGAGCCATGTCACATGTGTCCTCTCCGACGCATTCCGAGGCATATCCGATTCGTTCAACTTCTTTCAGCTCCGTTTCAACGACCCACCCAGAACCCACGTCTCGTGCTCGCCACGCCACCACTCCCAGTGCGACGTCGGCGAAGTCCCAAGAGTCCGCGGACGACCGCTCCGGAGGTGCTGCCAGTGTTGGTGGCCTGCGGTGACAAGCGTGCCCAGGGCTCCGCGAAGATGCTTCAAGCCAATTTGTCGGTGCTCCAGGGGCAGCCAGACTTAGCCACGGCCAAGGAGGCCATGGTGGCCATGCTCAAGCGCTTCCCTTCAGAGTGGGGGAGGGTCGCTATGATCTTTCGGTTCTGACTGGGACGTTTGGATGGACAGCGAGAACGCTCAGCTGAGATTCTGAAGAGATCCCACTACGAAGCGGGTGGACCATTGATACCATTCACTGCATATGCATACATTTTGTTGGTGCAAGTTCACGAGATCAAGAGAGTAGGGTTCGAAGGAGGGCCCTTTAAACGGGTTCCACCTATGGGGATGAGTGGTTGAGAACCCAGCAGATCAAACAAACCATCTAGTAGCGATGCCAGGAGCCCCTAGTAGCGTCCTTGCTCCTATTAGTATATTATATTACTATCCCAGACACTCCATGTATGCTATATATGCCTACATTGCCCCCTGAAACCACCCCAACTTGTGCGCAAATATGCCAGTCCCATGGAGTGTTTGGGATAACAAACCTCAAACTCACCTGGCGTGCACCCTGGAGGCTTTGGAGTGTTTTCAGGCAGCAGGGGTCAAGCACCTTGGCGTGGCAGGGAGGGCCCGCCAGGGCGTGTCGGTATTTGTCGGTGTTTTCATGTAGGTAAATATTTTGATAGAACGGAAATATATAATTAACATATATAGGTATACAATTGTATACACATATATTAATTATATGACAAATTAGCAACTTGAATTGATCTGTTTGAATTTAGTGCTCCAACGATCTTCTCAGAAGGTTTCTCAGAAGGAGGTATTTGGAGCCCTGGCAGAAGTATATATGTAGTAATTGTTAAGAGATCCCAGACATCTTGGACATGTTGATCACTTGGGGACTGGATTTGACCTCGATCAGGCATGATGTTGCACTGGCCCAATCGATGATTGCCCGTTTGCAGAAGACCCGTGCGCCTGCAGCAGCTGCGGGCGCGGCTGCGCCCACACCCGGAGCAGCTTCTGCGGCCGCGAACGCGGCGGCGACGAGCGCGGCGGCGACGGGCGGTCCGAAGCCTGCGACGATCGACAAGATGCAGCTGGCGTTGCCGGAACGGGTGACTGGGCACTTGGACTTGGCTGTGTTTACACATGTGACCTCAGGTCGAGCAAGATCTGGGACTGATGAGAAAGACCGTGGGCGGGGTCTTTGACCATGCCTTTGGTGTAAGTGACAAGCAGAAGAGCGGTTCATTCAATACGCATTCCAGACACCAAACCCTGGCAAAACGACAGGGGGGACTTACAAGAAAACGATACCCCAGTAACAAGGTTCTGAAACTAACATTGGGAAATGATAGGAGGCTCACAAATTTGACCATGCAATAGCCGCCCACCAAAAAAGACTATATGAATCTATATGACCTTACCTCATACATCAATCATAAACATGCATTCTTAGTGTTTCCAGTAGATTTGAAATTTTGGTTGTTTCCTTGCGCGGTCCCGAAGGTGAAGTACACGATTACCGAGCTGGTGGCAGAGGCTACAAACTTGGAAGGCATGGAATCTTGGCCTTGCTTTTGGAGTCCGCCTTACGCGAGAGGCACCACCCCGCAAGTCGAGTAGGTGCTAATGTCGACACCGGATTAATCAACCCCCTCCCCAACAAGGTCAACAAGGTTTGGGATTGGAGGGATTGGAGACCACATCCCCCTAATAAAGGTGATGACCTGATCATGGATGATGAGATGAGGACCTGGACCTGATGAGGGGTGATGGTTGATGGGATGGTGTGTGAGTCATGAGAGTTTAAATCATGAGAACCATGAAGGGTCTGAGTGTACTGGCACAAGTTTGATAAGAGATCAGATAGGTTTGATCAGACAGTAAACATAAATAGTACTGGGTCAAGGTTGTTTCTTGTCTCGGGCACCCTTTAGTTGTCTCATGTTGGTGTGCCCTTGGTCGAAGGAAACTACTGTACATATCTCATCTCGAAGATGATCGACAGTCTTGCAGTACTAGAGATCTTAAACACAAGGGCACGCAGGATGCTAGATGTAGTTTCCATCCAACTTAGGATCTACTGTGGGCAAATAGGAAAGATGCCTCAAAGAATAAATGAGCACTTCAAACAGAAGGTTTGTTCATTAGAATTCATCCAGAAGGCACACTTGGTGCCACCTGAGAGATTAATCAAACTCGTTCTTCTCTGGTACCCCTCACTTGTGGCATGATACCATGCCGTGTGTGAAAGCATGGTTGTAGCAACTGGAGCTCAAGTTTACACGTGGCTGGGTCAAGCTACTGCCACGGAGACTCCTGCAAAGCGAAAGCACACTGAGTTTGGCAGAAGCACTCCTGAGAAGACTAGGAAGGTTGCTCAGAATAGCTTACTATCACCTTTGCAGTTTCTAAGTTCTGTATTTGGTGTTTTAAATACTGTGTATATATGTATAAAACTATTATGTGTATATCTATATATGTCAAAAGGCCTTCATTTTCCGGCAGACATTGTCATGTGCGGCTGGTTTTTGTTTTCTATGGATGCGAGCAGAGCTTTGTTTGCATTTTTTTAGGATGGGAAGTTGCAAAGGGCTGCAGCTTTGGCAAAGTGCCTCCGTGAGAGCCACGTGGCGGTGTTCAAGAAGGTAGACCTTGTAAAGAAGTCAGCAGGTAACACTAGCACGGCACCTGGCACGGTCAACGACGCAGTCTTCACGTGTTTTGTTTGTGGCAGGGCGAAGCATGAATGTGCTTGGCTCTACAAGCAAGCAGGACACAAAGGAACACGCAGGACTGTGACAGGAGGTCAGTGTTCAGCTTGCTTCAAGGCTTGCCGCTTGTTACGCACAAGCAGGTCAGAGAGCTTGCTTCGAACACACCGTGTCTTGAGTTTTGTGTGCCAAGTGTCTCAGAAGGTATGTGAAGAGCGTGGCGCAGATGACGCATGCACATGTCACCTATGCCAGCCTTGAACTGGTTTCTCTGAGATCTGTTTAGTTAGCTTTGTGGTCCATTGATTTGGGGTCGTGGAAAGCACGAGGCTGGAACATATGGAGAAAGTGCGCTTCTTGCTTTGCAAGTTTACGGAGTGTGCGACACGCCTCCTCTATCAGGGACAACCGGAAGGGTAGTGCACAGAAAGGGTTTTGCAAAAACCTGTTCTTCTATCAATAGAAATAGAGAGTTGATATATACATGTTTTTATAATATGTGTGCTGGCTAGTCTAGTGTGCAGGAAAGCATCCGGAAGGTTAGAGGGATCTTCGTTTGTGTCATTGGTTTTCCAGGCCAGCTGAGACTTGCAGATCTTGTGATGCTTGTTTGCTGGCCACTGTTCTTCGGCCCAGATGCATGGATTTTCCAAGCCCTTAAGGGGGCGGTTTTTTCGGCCTAGGCACTGGAAGGAAGAATCAGCCAGAGAGTGCTTACAGTTTGCAGGGGCACAGCGGCACAAACTAGGCTTACGGTCGACTCCGCTGTGTTGCAGCCATGCCGCCGAAAAACAAACTCTCGGCCAGCAAGGTCCTCCGCCTGTCACAGGCTGCCTTGTTGGAGCACTATAGGTGCATGGAAAGTGACTGCACCTTCGGGAGCGACAGAGTTGGACTTGAGAGCTATGTTGGCCCGTGTCATGGAAGGAAGACCTGCCTTTCTTGCGCCTTCCACCACAGAGACTTCCACCACTGCTGCCACAGTGACAACAGAACTGGCAGGAGTCTGATTAGTGATTTCTTGTAAGATTTGGAACAGACTGGGTAGGTGGTGCCATGGAGGTGAAATAGGGTCTCGTTCGGGTCTCGTTTTGGGCCTCGTTTGGGTAGGCATGCGTTTTGAACAAGTAGTGTGTTTTGGAATGACCTCGCCTTGTGCAGGACTGGCTGCTGCAGAGGCAGCTCCTGCGCGGGAACCACTTTCACCTCCGCTGCCAGCGCCTTCAACCCCCCCTACATGCCATGATTGCAAGCAAGTAAGTGCGGCCAGCGAGCAGTCCTTGTTCCCAAACTTTTGCAAGGCTTGCTTTGACAGAAACATTGCCGAGCGCACTGAGCCGAGAATGCTGGGAAGTGCAGGAAGCAGTGCACTCTGACGTGCAGGTTTCTGCAAAGAAGCCGCGGGTTGAAGTTGCAGACGGCAATTCTCCTGGTGTGGAAGTTGAGACACCACCCAAGTGGAGTGCTTGCACTTGGTGGCAAAAGAAGCAAGCGGAGCAAGGCATTAGCAAGAAGGACGCTTTAGACGCATGGAGAAACATGAGCTTTCAAGAAAGAGAAAGATTCAAAGAGACGCTTCCTTCTCCCAAGCCTTCACCTTCACCACAGGACACAGCCCAATCACCCAGGGCACCTACCGCAGTGACTTCCTTCAAAGATTTTGAGAGAAAGTGGAGGGAGTTCAAGCAAGGACTCCGTGAAGCTGAGAACTCTCATGTTTATCATCTAGCAAACTACGAGGACTCCTTCTACATGTATGCCGATGTAGTGTCACTTCTGCAGCTCAATGTGTTTGATTCTGCGGTCGATGCTGAGAGGCGCTTGAAAGACTACGCTGTGAACCGGAAGAAAGTGTCAGCTGTTCGCAAGTATCTAGACCAGCATGGTGAGAGCCCGCCGGCCGAGGTGCCAGCTGAGTTCTGTGCTGGGAAGACGCACTAAAGGCGCGCTCACGTCCAAGCAAAAGCAGGATCTCCTTACGCACGCGCAGGTCATGCAGAAGAGCTGTAGTGTCTTTACAAGCAAGGATGCCAAGAAAGCGATGTGGCGGCGCCTTGGAGCAGTGCATAAATCACGTCGGTTTCATAGTTCTTCTCTATTTTTTCTTTTCTACCTTCCACCTCAGCTTTGGTTCCTCTTAGTTGGTCCCCTGCAGGTTTTACCTGGTCAACATTGGTGTGGTCGACAAAGAATCTCCAGTGGATTGGTCTTCATACACTGAGTATGCAAAGGACAAGAATATGGACAGCGTCTTCAGGCCTTGGCTTGAGTGGGTCAAGCGGACACAGCCAGAAACCGAGCAGGTGTTAAGCAAAAAGGTCGTTGGGATGAAAGGGGAACAAGCCGCACAGTGCAGTGAGCAGTCCGTCAAGGCCCATTTTGATGCGTTTGAGAAGGTGTTCCTCGACGTTGGTGCGCTTCCAAAGCTCGGTGGCGAGCTGCAGAATGCACACAGAGTGTGGGCTGTGGACGAGAAGGCGATGGTAGACGACGTTGGTAAGCTGAAATTTGTTCGCTCCTTGTCCGTGAAGTCATTGGGTGTTCCCAACTGCGCGGCTGGTTCTTCCAACTTCCGGCACATCACGGTGATGCCATTCATTTGCCTCGATGGCCGAGTCTCTCCACCGTACATCACAGTGAGTGGGCAAGCCGAGATGCATGCCTGGGCCCGCGTGTGGCCTTGTGCTTTCGTGAAAGCGACCGAGCATTTCAGATGAAAATGTCAGAAAGTTTTTGATTGGGTGTGTTTTTCAAGGTGGTTTTAAGAAACACCGATGTTTCGAAAGATCAGGCGTGGGGCTGTGACCACGGACTTGTTCATCGAGTATTACGCACACTTCTGCCAGTGGCTGCGCAGTGAAGGCAACGTTTCAATGGATGAAGAAGTCGTGATCATCATGGGTTCGGGTGGAGGGAGCATGTCGCATTTTGCGACAGAGATTGGCGTTTTGTCGGCAAAGTATCGTTGCCGACCTTTCTATTTAGCTCCTTACCACACGGCAGCTTTGATGCCACTTGACCAGGCCCCAAACAGAGAATTCGAACGTGCGTGGAGTGAATGCCGGTCAAAACAAAGCAACTTTTCGACGCTGCAGGCGTTGGACGCCTGTCATGAGTGCTGGGACAAAGCGTATTCTTCACAGAATGTGCTCAAGGGCTTTGCTAGTGTTGGGATGACTCTTGGGAAGCCTTTGTGTCGGGAGAAGGTCCTTCTCGAACGAGGACCACACCTCTTTCGCAAAACGGTGCCCAAGCAGGAGAGGAACTATGTGAGTGACTGCGCAGACAAAGTTCTTTCACCGCCCAAGGGCTACAAGAGAGCGCCTGATAGCGTGCGATGTTCGTGCAACCTGGACATCAGTTCTGTCCCACATGCGGTGCAAAGAATGAAGCTTTCGACCCCATAGCGCAGGCAGTGGACGCAGGGGCCCGCCAACAGGGTTATCGGCGAAAAGCGACCGCCTTGGTGGATTTGCAAGATGCTTTAGACAAACATTTGGTCAAGGTTTGGGGCGATATGCTCAGCAAGATGAGAGCCCCATCCAAAGATGAAAGTGCGCCCACAACACCAGCTCCTACCCCGCCAACTCCTGCTCCCACAACCCCTGCGCCCCAAGTTGTGCCTGCCACACCGGCGCTACAGACCAAGGGGCCACAGGCTGCTCCAAGCACGGCCCCAGCTGCAACAGCAAAAGCTCCAGAAGCTCAAGGGAAGCAGGCAGAAGCAGAAGAAAACTGTGAGTTTGACCTTGACAACCCAGAAGATGTTTGCAATTACATCTTGGGCCATTTTAAGGCTAGCTTGCGGGAGGGCGCAATGCCGGCGGTCAAGTTTTACGTCGGTCAGTTGAAAGCAAAATGCACCAAGGGGAAGCCATTGTCAAGTTTGGTGCAACATGAAATTGTTTCATCACGAGTGTTGATGAAGCCTCACACCAGAGACATGTGGCTGAAGAGCTGGGTGTCCAACAGATCTCACCGGTACGTTTCACTTCCAAAGAAACAGGAAAACCATTTGCAAGGGCGGCGTGGTTTGGGAAGGCGCCTCGACTGGGGTGAAACAAGGTGTGCCATGGTGATCTTACAAACTTCTGGGGTCAAAGATGTTCATAATGGTCAATCCCACACATTGAAAGCGCAAGGGAACTACATAGTTTTAGGATACAATGCAAGAAGAAACACAGGACATAAGAACCGCTGTGCCATGGGGTTTGGATGTGTGGGGTAACTTTTGGTTCCCTGGGGTAACTCGTTGAGCCATTGGGGTGGGGTAGGTAATAGGTGTTGGGGTAAGAAACCGCTTCCGCTCGTAAACTATATTTTTGTTTTTCTGGGGAGCTGGGCTTGATTAGTAGGGGGCTTTTGGCAAGGAACACAGGGGGAGCTTGCAGGGTTTTACAGTAATTAGTTTAGTATTGGAGGCTCCAGCTGGGCTTGATTAATTGGGGGGTTGGTTAATCCTGTGTTGACATTACGCATCCTGATGATGAGACGAACTGGAATCCATCCCCAGAATGGGCAATCTCGTAGCGGCTAGCTGTTTGAACAGCACAAAGAGAATCAAAGAGAGAAAGACTTGGCTTAACCATTTTGGAGGCCATTTTCCTGTCTAGATGGGCACTCCCATGAACCACCTGAAGGCACTGCCGCTTCATGAGGTGACTAGTAACTCTGCTCGCTGTTTTCATACACCCACAATTATCACGGCAGCTCAAGGAATCTCGTTAACATAGTGGGAGTAGATTAGGAAGAAGAGTAGAAGCAGTCTGCAGTAGTAGAGGAAGAAGTGGTAGTAGTAGAAGCAGTAGCAGCAGTGGCGGTAGCAGCAGTAGTAGTAGGCGTACTACAGTATTAGAAAGAGAAGCAGTATTTGTTGTCGTTGTAGTCATTTGATGTTAATGCACATCATCAAAGTTTGATGCGCTTTGCTCGCATTTTTTTTTGAACCACGGCCAAGGAGGAAGACCGGGCCTTGATGGAGACGGGCATGACCAGCATCGCCAGCATCATGCTTCGCGACCGCATCCAGGCACGCAAGGGAGATGCCTTGGTTTTCCCAATGTTCCCATCTATTGGGGTCAACAAGTGCCTCATTCTTAGACTCTCCACCGCCAGTTTCAATATTCCCCTCTCTCCAACAAACAGGGAAGTAGACCACCCCCGTTTAAGTCTGCAAATAGTTTTCCCAGGTTCCAGCCGGCCAACCCATCCACTTCCCTTAAGAGTGTTTTTGTTAATGTGTAGAATATCTATCTCTCTATATATATATATAACAATATATATATATAATACATATATACTGTAATCATACATGCATTGCTTTGGCCAGGCGGAGTTCCCGCAAATTCCCGAGATGGATTTGACCTTCGTCTTCGACTACCCCACCATCCGGGAGATGACGGGCTTCGTCCTCACCGCTCTGCCGGACGACACGTGAGACGATCTTCCAGAACGCGGGACACTCCGGGGTGTCCGGGGCATATGGGCTGGGAGAAAAAGAAGACCAACCCGAAAGAACAAGGGACATCACAGACATAGACCTGACCTGTCCAGAGTGGCTGCAATGACGTCTTCTGACCAGGAATATGAGCAATTTCGGGACATGTCTAGAGATGGTTGGACAATAGATGTTGAATCCTTTTCCCGCCACAAACAAGATTAGGAGAAAGCAACAACCACATCCATGAACTTCCAGATGAACAAGGTGACCATAGACTTTAGATGGAAACAAGGTGAACCATCCATGAACTTCAGATGCGAATAGCTTCAGATCAAGGTGACCAGTTCTGGACCATCCCAGCCCTGCCGCCTCGACCCGCCGGACCGACCCCTTTGCGACCAAAACAGAGCGCACCGTATCGCACTGGAGCAAGCAGCTGATTTGCTGCGCAGGCGGCGGAGGAGGACGTTTGATGGTATTTCTCAACTTTAGACCAACCCCCAGCACCAGTGCTTGACTTGCCAACTGAAAGACCAAGTTTCAATTGGCTGTGTATGGCTCTTGAATTCTTTTTACATGTGTTATCATGTGTTTGTATGTTATTATGCGCATGTTTGTTGCCCTTGGGATTGAAATCGGCAAAGGCATGCAAAGACCAGTGGTGGGGTTCCCTCCGCTTCCTGGTCACAGAAATCAATGGTTCTCATACAGACTGCCTGAAAACAAACTGTTTGTCCCAGCATGAGCCCTTCCTTCAGTGCAAACGTGATCGATTTGTGTTTCATGTTTTTTCTATACACATGCTTCTATTATGACTGTGTCCCTCCAATCCATGTGGAACCCAGTGTTGATCCAAAGGGCATCAAAAGGCCATGCGAGGGGCCAGAGAAGATCTCAAAACATGGGTCGGTTCCCCCCCCCGCAAACGCGGTGCTGTGCCCACCCCACGCACTCTATAGACACTCCATGCGACAGGCATATTTGCCTACACTGTGGATATATGGTCATATATGCCAGTCCCATGGAGCGTTTGGGCCACTGCCACCGTGGGAGTCTCCCGTCGCTCTAAGATCGCCGGCCTGAACAACGAAGCCTCCTCGACGGCCAGCAACGCTTGGGTCCGGAGACGCCAGAGACATGGGGCTTCAGGGGCTCTCGGATGAGACCATGGGGCTTCAGGGGCTTCAGTCGGGCGGTTTTGACAGGACAGCAGTTGGCTTGGCCTTGTTGGAGTAGGTGACTAGCTGGGCGGTCCTGACAGCAGTCAGTTGGCTTGGCCTTGTTGGAGTAGCTTGTAAGGAGTGCATGTTTTTTTGGGGGTGGCTTGGTCGTTGAATAGGTATTTTGGATGCATTTTGGAGAGTCGACAAGGACATGGACTGCGTTCTGGACAGGCAGCCTGGCATGTCTCATGAATCATGAGAATCTTCTGACAAACGGTAAGGTCTGACATGGTCTGACCCACACAAAGCCCGCCACTATTGTTGGCAGGTGAGGAAGTACTCAAGACATGGCCAGCATATTCTTGTTTTTCACGCTATGTATGGCCCTATCCGTACACTGATAGAGGTCAAACATAGATTAGACCCTTGTGCCTGACGGTCAGCCACTCAAACTGTTCTTTGCTCACGCATGATTCCGTGGGTTGTCGTCTGGTCTTCCATGCGCAGCCAGGAGATGCATGTTTCTGCTGGCTCTCAGCGTTTCAGCCCAAGCCCCCTTTGCGCCACTGCGATGGGCGCTGTGGCCTGCGCGCCGGTCGACGATGCGCCCGATGTACATGCGCGCGCGGAGAGGGTGCATGAGCAGCTCTATCCCATGTATGTGGTCAAGGCTAGGCCGCTAGTTGCGTTGGCCTGACTGCCCAAAGATGACAGGCAGCTCAGGTCATTTGTTGATGTTTCCCCTCACTAGATCTGACTGATGTAGGCTATTCATTAATAGCCCTTCAGACATGGACTGTAAAACTTCATATGGGATCATATGGGGGGCTTTATTCTTGCTCTCATGCTGAAGCGAGTCAGTCAGCGACCGCTTCCGGGAGTCTGGTCAGAAATAGATGGGGGAGCTTTATGAATCGAGAATCTACATGGAAGCATTATGGCATAGGGTATAGTCATTGATTCATCAACTGAAGAATATACCACCCTCCTGTCGGGGTGTCTATTTATAGCCCCCAAAAGCCGGTGAGGCAAGGGGTGTCCATTCACCACCCAACTCCTGACGGTCCTAGTCGGTCCTGGTCGTTTGGGACAGCGGCTCGGCGCTCCACGTCGTGGGGCTCAGCCTGAGCGACCGTCCCTCAGATGCTTCGTACAAGCAGATGATGACGATACGTTTGATACGAAGCTTCAGAGGATGATTGGACCTAGGGCTTCCAATCAAAGTCATGAATTGTTTCCTGATGTATACAAAAACACATCGTACATACGGGGAAGGGCTTCGCAGGCTTTTACCCCAAAAACACCCTTTAAGGGTGAGGCCGTCGCCCAGAAAATGGGTCTCAATCCTGGTCGCCTCGAGTTCGTCCGACGGTGGACCTGGTGAGATTTGTTATTGTCCCTATCCCAGATACTTGGTTCATACATGTTCATACCAGGAACCTCCAAGGGGTGCCCTGTCTGGAAGCGTATAGGTAGTGTGGGGTAGTTCAGCCAGGACACCCTGACAGAAGGGTCCTGGTGTTTTCCCACCTACAATGAAATGGTTTCAGAGGTCAATGTATACATATAATGTATAGGCATTTGTTCCATACATGGGGTGTTTGGGGGAGGGGAAATGGGAAACCCGCGTGTCCTGGGTGAATCCCTGAAGGAGAAGATCAAAAGAACAAGACCTGTACCCTGGGAGTCGAAGACTATAGAAAGAATGGTCTGACTAGGGGACCTGAAAGGGAACTTCCTTTACTTCAGCCGGTCAAAATATAGTCTTTGGACTGCTAGGGTGTTTCCAGATGCAAGAACATGACCCGTTGATGGTGGCAATGATCTCCCGGCCAAGGGCGGCACAAAATTTTGGGCGGATGCCAGGTACCGTTCCGTCACCTGCTTGGGGCGTTCTCCCGAAAAAGAACATCCTCTTTTGGCCACATTTGATCGAACAATGCAGCCGCCATGCTTCGTTTCATTGCTTCAAAAACAATCTTCCACCAAGGCCCTATACGATCAGGCCATTCGATGTGTGGTGCAATGGCGTAACCACGGCCCCTCTCCGCCTCGCGCGAACACGACTGCGGTCAGGTCGCGGACCTCTTGCGGATGGAGGGCCCCCCCGAGCCCCACGAGCAGCTGAAGCGCCAAGGACACTTGAGCCAGTTTTTTTGTGCAAATGATTATATAGATTTATATATATTTATGGATTATATAGGTTTATACAAAAAGGGAACTGTTGAGAAGTTGCGGAGGCTGTTCTGCTTGGGGCATAGGCGTCGTGTAAGCATTTTGGGTAGGTGGGTGTTGAAAGACTTGCGTAGGCAGTCTTGCATAGGCACATGTTGAATGAAAGCATGAGTTTTCTTTTCCAGATGTTTTGAACAGTTGTTCAAGGGTCTTGGGAAAGATAATGTTGGTTTGTAGTTGTTTAACTTGGCACTTTCTTGCAAAATCCAGTGGGGAACTCAAGGAAAATGAACTGTAATGGCATGGCTGCAGTGGATGTCTGAAGTTTGTTTGTCGAAGCTATGGGGGCACTTTGGCTTTCGAGGTCAAAAGCTTGATCATGCTTGGTCTGGCACACCGGCTCTTGAGCCACAAGTGTGCACACCCTGTTAGTACCGTTATCGATGGAGCAAACTGAGCTCTGGACTGCCCGACAGCTTACACCATGTGGGCAGCCGGCTAAACTCTTTGGTTCCCAACAACCGACCTATTTTCGCGTAGGCCCCGCGTAGGCGCTCGCGTAAGCAGCGCGTAGGCAAGAAGCTATTGGCTGCTGCTACTGCTTGGCTGCTGCTTCTGCTGCTGCTTGGCTGCTGCTTGTGCTGTTTGTGTGCTGCTGCTGCACTGCTTGTCTGCTGTTTTTGTTCTGCTTCTGTGTTCCTTGACTGCTGCTTCTGTGCAGTTTGTCCGCTCCTGCTGCTGCTGCTAATTGGATTGGTTTGATACAAAGTCTATCTGGCAACCGGTAGAAAAGCTGCAAACGCCTTGTGAACAGGAACCTGATGTGACCAGTGCCCTGCGTAGGCATCCCGCGTAGGCACCTAACAAAGAGAACCTCTCGCGTAGGCATTTGCTTGGGAGGGGAGCCCAGGCGTAGGTACAGACCCAGTGTATAAGCCCCACACCACCACAAAAAAACAACTCACTTGAGACCATTTTTTGGTCGAGTCGAAATCCGCACAGCGATAGCACCAAGCGCTACTCGGAGAAGACATCCCTGTTCTTCGTGGGGCAATGTTTCGAGAAGTTGCACCTCGTGATGCCTGTACTTAGTACTTCATGACTGGCCCAGACTGTATCAAGATATATAATGTGGAGATGCAATGCACGCCATCCATGGCTTGAACAATTTGCCATTCAGTTGCTGCCTTAGTCTGCCACATGTTGCATCCATGCGCTGCTTTTTATCGCATGCGCAGCAAGCAGCGACTGATGGTTGTGGATTCGAAAGACATGCGCTTGTCCATCGCGTCCATCGTCGTCAGGACTTTTGCACGAGTGGCGGCCCGGGATGTTCACGAGCCTCGGGCGGAAGGGTTTCCACATGAAGCCGCCAGTCATACAAGTAGTTTCAGTTTACCATGGCACAGGCACGTCAAGAGGATTTTTAGATGGGGGTTCATATAAACCGCCACATTTTTGGATTGTTCCATCTATTCTGAAACTACTGTACTTGTAACACTTTCACAAAAAGGTTCACATCTATGACATTGTGGCTGGACTGGCATGGCTACAATTTGTGGAAACGAATCTGACCCGCTGACATGTGAACTCTTGAGTTGGTTTTGATCTTTAAGATCTCAAACCCTGAAGTGATGGGCTCCAAATCAAGAACTGGATCTTCTTCTTGGTTGAATCACAGCCCTTCTATGCTCGGATTTCTCCTCTATGACATGTGCACTTGTGCAAGGCATTAAGATGTATGAAGCAGGTGAACAGGAGCCGCAACCATTCCGTTGGCATTGTTGTGTTGCCAAGGAAGCTTGACTTAGAGCAGACCAGTTGGTTCTTTTGGCACTGGTGGTAGTAGTGAGTGGTGCTAGCCAGCCACCACACCCGCAAACCTGACATTGTTAGTATGTTCTAGTTCTACTTTCTCCAATGGACCTGGCCTTGTGGAGAAGAGGTCCAACTGACTGTGTCAAGTGCTGCCTTGCACACGGCTACATGCGGAGCCCAATTTCTTTTTTCAGCCTAATCAATCTGACGATTTGACTTGTGGCAAGCATCTAGGTTTGAGCCCAAAGACGATTTGACTTGGTCCACCCTGAGAGAATTCTCACGCTGACCGATTTAGAGGATTGCTGACCGGACCTTGGCCAGGGGGAGATGGGAAAGCGAAGCATGCGAAGCATGAACGATTTCTGACATGTTCCGTTGTTGAACTGAAAGTGTTTAGTTTTTGTTTTTTTGTCAGGACCTTCGGGCGAGCAGGATCACGATCGCGATCGTGTCGGAAGCTCCATGTGGCTGAGGATCTTTGTTTCGCATCAGTGGCTCCTTGGTGAAGCTCCAGGACGCTAGTTCCATGGGTTCGTTGCACGGATTGTGGGTGAGCTCCCTGAATTCTTTGGTCACCTACCCTAAGGGTCCGGGACCATCCGAATCGGATGCCCTTTGACGCCCCAAGACCATCCTCTGGAAGTACGAACCCGCCTCCAAGACCATTCTCAGGAGGTACCTGGACCCCTATGGGCTGCGGCTATAGCCTCCAACCAATGGCCGCCAACTATATAGTGCAACTAGTGGCCTCCCCGCCTCCATCCGCCTCGATGGTCAGCCCCCTCCCCCCTCCACCCAGACATTCAGATGCCGCACCGCGCACCGCGTGAGACCGATGAGACTGATGAGAAGAGTCCCCCAGGTCCTGCCACCAGTAACAGGATACACACCAGTTAGAAGCTCCTTTCATGTCGAGACAGGCTGTTTTTTCTGCGAAGTTGGTGGAGTTGATTGCGAGTTCAGACAAACCCTCGCCACAAAGACGCAAGCATAGTAAGCATGTAGCTGTAAGAAGCTATATATAGATATTGCCTGCAAGGGACCTCCATGGCACACCGTTTGTCGCCGCATTAGAATCGCCATATGGTGTGCCGTGTAGAACACCAGAGGTGTCCTGTCCGAGGTGTCGAAGAGATCCCGGTGTGAGGTCGCAGCAGGGCGTGGCTAAAAACACAAAGCAGGAGAAGATGAGATTTCGATCCCCCCAGGCCTGGCAAAAGAGGTTCTTCCCTTCAGTTTGTATTCATCTCATGGGTCCGTGAGACGCGGAGACGCCGCGGAGACCTGGTGACCAAGGCTTTTCGCTTGATGTAGTGCTTGCACATAGGAGATTGGACCCCAACATCACAAGTAAGAGTCGCAAGTGCTGAAAATGACGGCGAGATCAGTAGAAGTGATTGACTGATTGAGCAAAGTTTCATTGGCATCCCCCGTGCCTGTGGTGGATCAGAAAACACATCAAAACACCAGAAACCATACTAACAAGCTCCTCATATCTCCTCTTTGACCCGACCTCAAGTATATATTTTCCAGATTCCAACTGGCCCTGGCAGAAGGGCAATGCCTCCTTCTTTGACACATCACCTTCTGAAGTGCCTCCTTTCACCGCGCGCGACACCGAGGCTGGGCCAAGAGCACCCCGACCCCTCGGGGCGGCAGCTCTCGGTGCTGCGCGCGGCGCTCGAGCGGATGAGCGACGGACGACTTCAGGCGCGGGCGACGTGAGCGGGCGGGCGGGCGAGCGGAGGAAGGCCTTCGAGCGGGTAACCAAGGCCGTTTTTGGCCAGTGAGAATGGAGACCAACAGCATTGGAGTCGCTGGGAGTTTCCGTTTTTTTTTCAGAAGACGGCAGTTGGATGCAGTTGGGCGGGCTGATTTTTCTGTCTAATCCTTGCCCTGGATGCGGCCAAGAGCCAACAATGTTGGATCGAGATGTCCTGCATTGACTTTGCATGATTATGCATGCATATAAGTGATGTTTATAATATATATAAGTGATATCCACCATTCATATCCATTCATAACAGTTAACAAAACAAAACAAACAGCTGCACATGTGCCGCCATCAGGTGGAATGCGACCTGGTCTCCTTTCCGCACGAACGGTTTCTGACCAAGCGGGACCGGCAGCACATCGCGGAGGGCTACGTCTTCTTGGCGCCTCGTCGGTTTTCCTGTCGGTTTTCCGCATGGAAGACGGCGATGGTCGTGGTCAATGCCGCCTGTTCTAATGTAGACTCTTGATTTGTTCACCCCCTGCACATGAATAGGTGTTTCTATTCAATCGGGAGGGGGTGGATTGATATCAAGAATTCAGAGTCTACATTAAAGTTGTTTTTTCTCACTCTTGTGCTGGAGTCTATTTTTGACCTTCTTGCTATTTGACCTATAGGGCCTCCAGCGGAGTGTTTGAAGACTGGATATTTGTAAGACTGATTGCCTTTTTTGTTCTGCGTTGTCCACTCAGAGCCTGATTAGACGAAACTGTGCAGTAGGTCCAAAGCATAGAAGAAGCCGGTGTTGCACATCAGAGTTGGCATTCATTGCGTGATTGTTTCGTTGGAATGTACACCTGCAGCTGCAGTAGATCAAGTGGAGAGCGGGTCTTTTTGAGTAGCAGTAGAGAGCTCTCAAGTGGCGACTGCCCGCTTTGCCCGGCCTCGTCTTGAAGCAATGTTAGAAGGTTGTCTGACGTTCTGTTGCTTGTTGTGCAATAAGCTCCTCAGATCTTTGAAGTTAAGATAAGATACTGTAGATAAGTTAAGTAAGCATTCTGTCCTTGAAAGGGCTTGAGTATTGCTCCAGAAGAGATGAATGAACACTTACTCACTTAGACTACGTGCTTCTGAGACCGGGCAGGTTGCTTCCGGGGCCAGGCTTTCGAGTGCCTTGGAACAAGACGTTCTGAAGGCGTTTCGAGTGCGACTCCGTGGCTTTCCCGTCGTTCAAAACGACCTGTTTTGGCCTTGGCCAACGTTGCCACCGAATCCCCCGCCGCGACCCGCACAACCCCGCGGATCCTCGCTCACCATGCGTTCCTGGCCGCGGATCGCCCTGTGTGCCGCCGCACTGGTGCCTTTTCTCCTAGAGCACCACTGGCAGCCGCCCCAACGGGTGGAGCAAGTGGAAGAGGGGCTCGAAATCGATATCAGTGACAGAAGATTGAATCTTGGCTGGGCCAGTGAGTCATCCTTCAGAGCGGTTGACCTGGCTTTGGCCAGAAGGATGTGATTGGAAGGTGTTCCTCTTTTGGCACAGGAGCTGCAACAATGCAACGGCAGCAACAACAACATGAACAGCAACTGACAGGAACAGCCACAGCAACAGCAATTGCAACAACGCCACCACAACCATGACCCTCACAGCACACCCTCTTCCTGTAACCACCTGAATGACAGCAGTGACTCTTTTGTTGAACCATCAGCAAGTACCCACTATATGATATGTGTGTTTTGAAACATTGGGGCCCCCCACTGACCACCGAAACTGGGATTATATGCCTATATATAATATACCTGTTGGCATAAACATATATATATATTATATGTGTGTGTGCTTCTATCACGCGTTCTGCTCCTTCCACTAAGGAGCAGCAACAACCACGACCTTTTCCTCGTCCTGGACTTCACTGTCCCCTTACCCCAACGACTGGAGCTCATTGCCTTTGCTGTCCAGCTGGTGCGGCAGGTGGCGAGGCATGCGAACCACGCGACATCTCTCTCCCTGAGCTTTGGAGTGGTGGCCTGGATTTGGGCTTTGGATGGCTTTGGCCTTTTAATTTGTGGGATGTTTGCCCTTGGATGCCCTCTTTGGGGAAGGTTTATCAGTTTATTATAGGATGTTTATATGATATCATGTCTTGGAGCGTTGGTTCCATCCTGTTTTCGGGAAGATTTACTATTTAATATTATTGTTATCCCCCTTCGGGGAGACTATATATATAACTCATAATTAGTTTATCTATTTACAAGTGTCCAATCGTGCATTGGGGAAGACTTGTTTGCTTATTAATGAATTTAGATCCTGTTTGGGGAAGATGTTTTCGCTTTGGCTCAAGCAAATCTAAGGTGGTCTTCCATGAGGATGTGCCACTTGGACCACCAAGGTTCGCACATTCACTAGGTAGCCTCGCCCGTTGCGAAGCATCCTGCCTAATTACTGTACTCGTTTTGGTGTTTGTTGAAGTTTTGGGATGTTGTTGTGGCAGCAAAAAACGACTTTTGGCAATACGAGCACTGGCTAGCAGGGTCATCTTGCTGGGTGCCTGCGCCAGGGTGATCGAAGCAATTGGGGATCCCTGGAGATGGCGGCTGGTTTCTATTTGTGGCATGTGGATATGACATGGTATGACACACTTGGACTTTGCTCAAACACAGAAATACATATAGTCCTGAAGTATCTTCCTATATGATGGAACGGATCGGGGGCTGAACCACTCACATGAGCGGGCTCGAAGTCAGTGACCGGTGCGCATCGAGACATCTCTTTGTGCCGCACTCGAGTCCAGAAAACCCAGACGCTCCATATGCAAAGACCGGATTAATAACCCCCCCCACATAGAAGGTCTAGAAGGTCTAGAAGGTTTATTAATCCTATGTTTGCATTATATATATGCAATATTGGCCTACATTTGGTGGGGACTGTATGTGAATGTACGCCCTATTTGCTTACATGGAGCGTTTGGGTAGGCTATTGGGCAAGCAATGTTTATATGTTTAAAGTTTGAGCCTTTGAGCTGGCACATTACAAAGGTGCCAAGCAGGCTTTACATGTGACACCTCTCACTCTTCCAACATCTTCCAATCAAGAGGTCACTAGTCATAGGTGTTGTGAGGCTTTCGCAGCTGAATATCCTGGAGAGTTTGATCAATTCACACTGACTGACCGTGGCCAAATCGAAGCATGTCAACAGTACTCCTGAAGCCGGAAAGTCTAGAAGCCGAGTGCTGGGAAAGCCTTAGGAGCTACGAAGTGGCCCTGAACCCTGATTACATCCACGTGCAGGACCAGCTCCTACATCCAGACTTTGGCCACTGGCTTTGGTTTGTGTCACTTTGTGGGGGCGTAAGGTGCCACAACATGCCACAACACTCCCAAAACGCCAAGACATGTGACATGACAAACAAACAAAAGAAAACCATCCACTGGGGATGCTGTTTGGAAAGAAAACTCTTGAAACGCCCTATCCGCACGCCGTCTTCATGTCCGAAGAAGTGCCCGCAGTGGAGGTGGTATAGGAAGGTATATAGGTGGTATATGGCATTTGTTCCACAAAGCGTTTCCTATACCACTTACAGTATATATGAAGGCAAATTTCTTTCATGGATATATACTGCAAGTGATTGACCCTAGGATTCGAACCACCACTTATATTATTCTAGCTGTTATAGCCTTTGCCAGACAGCCATTGTTGATTGTTTTACTAGGGGCCAAGCAGCGAACCAGTTGTTTAAAATGGTCTTGGAGATCGGAAATCCCACCCCGCCGATTCTGCGCCGCGACCGAGGCAACTGGGGCAACGCGACGGGTGGCCTCTCACGGAAGACGGGTGAGGCGCTCGAGTTCTGTGGTGACCTCATCGAAGTGCGTGAGGCGCGGAAACCGGACGGAAACCGGGCCGGTTTCTGGCAGAGCCGTTCGTTTTTGGATGAAGCAGAAAGCTGTTTTTTTTGCACAAAACCTGGTGATTTGATGTGTTTGATTTGTCTTTTCCTGAACTGAGTAGCCACCCCTGGCATGGGGAAGATGTTCTCTTTTTTTCCAGGTTCCTGGACAGCAAATCCAGCAAAGAAACTTCCCAGAAGATATACTACAGCCAGGAGTTCCATGGAGGAAGTCAAGTGCTATCCATGGAGGAAGGAGGTGGTCGGTGCCCCAAACGTCACATACATCCACTCATCCACACACGCCCAGCTCCGTGTGACTCCTACAGAGTGGGTACCCTTTGAGGAACACATTACATGGTTCCCTTTGACAATCTTTGACTACTTTCCTTTACAAACAGGGGGTGAACCTCCACGTAGCCATGTGATGTGTTCGTCGGAGCCTAGCTCCAGAAAACAATAACAGGGTACTTTCATGTGCTTTCCACGTCTCTTCTCCATCTCGTTAGCAGCTGCTGGACAGCAATGGTTGGTTTCTTCGTGTCTCCGTCATTGGCGCGTGGCGCGTGTGTTCAGCTGGTTTTTATCGCGGAAGAGTTGCGCGGACTGGGCAGGGGCCCCTGCTTTGTTGAAAAGAAACCGAGCTTTTTTACTCCAATAGCCGTGGCAGGCATTTTTGACTTTTTTCTTGTTCCAAGCCACGTGTTGTCAGCACTGAGGACCACGCAGTGCTGGTGGTGCTCACGAGACTTGGCGTGTTTCACGAGCGCATTGCGCGTCGACCCACCGCGACGGTTTGGAGTTGACACCGTCAACCCACAGAGCGGAGCCCGTGGGGGTCGGGCTCTTCGCTTTAAACCAGGAGCACGGAGCGAACGGTTCTGTTTGCGTTCGACCGCGTTTGCGTTCAGGAGTTTGGGATGCCGAGCTCGTCACGGGATGTGCCCGTTCGGGATGCATCGGTCGCCGGGTCGCACCGGTCGCACCGCGGTCGCGCGAGGAATGGCTTGTCCGCGAACGCGTCGCAGACCGTGCTGATGGCCCGAGAGCTCCACGACCAGGTCCGGTGGTCCTTTGGATGTGTTTTTGTTGGTGGTCCTTTTCTTGCAATCTATATATATAGCTGTAGTCAGTTTGGATCTTCCAGAATGTATGGATCGGATAGTGGTCTCCAAATAAGATAGATAGGGCTGCTAAGACTGTTTCAGTGGGAATTCATTGGAATTCGGTATGACAGGATCTATCTCAGGGTGTGTTGGGGAGCAAGTCTGCTCCCCAGCCCCAGCGCTCTCTCTCTCTCTCTCTCTCTCCCTCCCCCGGGCAATGTGTCGCATGTTCATCCATGGGCCACGGGTGAACCAATCCTAGGTGGATATATAAATCACATGCTTGAAGCCATTTGCAGCGTGTTTTGTCCCAAGTCAAGTCCTATATGCTGAAGGGACTCACATGCACAGGCGCGTGTATCCCAGTTCACCTTCAGAGATCTAGGCTGAAATCTCAATACCTTCACCGAAGGCCAGCAGATTTGCTGGATTTCGAGTTGCTTTTCATTGCTTTACTCTCTGATATTCTCCACTAGAAGACACTAAGGCTCTTGTTGCACCCGCACAGTGCACGTGCAAACAGGAACCAAGCAACAAAGCGCTGCGTTCCCCCCTGTTTGACCATCAGACCATCCGCCCCCCAGTTGCCCACACCGAGAACACCGAGATCGCCAGGAGGCCGTGCTTTATGCCATCGGCCTGGACGATCCGTCGACGCGCAGTGCAGACCGGACCTGGGAGCTGCTGGAGATGGCCACGGCGCCGCGGCCCCACGCGGCTCCACGCGGTGGAGCGGGTTCGCGGGGTTCGCGGGTTCGACGGTGCCACGGGCGGGTCCCAAAATGAGATAGCCAAGATTTTGGCTGTAGGGGTATCAAATGCCGCAGTTGCACCGGTGTGGTTTTGACCGGTGCAACTGGCGGGCCCGGCTTTTGCCAGGCTGATTGCTGTTGTCACAGCTCCGATTTCCACGAGGTGGTCACAGAAACACACGTGCACATGCTTCTTCCACTCAAAACTTACTTAAAACTATGATGCCGGATGAAATGCTGCGCAGTGAGCATGGAACCCGGACAGGTGGGTGTTTATTTTGGAGGGGGTCCGCAGGTAGGACCCTAAAGCGTGTTTTGAGCGAGACCGGGGGCACATCTATCAACGGGATATGTGGTTTTTGCCGTCCTTGGAATTTATATATGATGTTATAATCTGATATTTTATGTTAAAGGTGTTGAAAATGGCTTTGCTCCTAATAAGCACAAGTGATCTTGTGCTATGAAGGTTGAGTCACCTCAGACAGAAACAAAGCGGGAAATTCTTTGCTGGGACTGTTCTTAATGGCTACGCGGCTACACTGATGCTTTGCCGCGCCCCCACACCCAGCAGGGCTTTATGCCGCTTTGTGCCTTCGATTTGTTTGCGTCACATGTTTCACAGCCTCAGGATTACTGGCCGGTAGATGCTTTCTTCAACCGTAGCAACTCCACAAATTTGACGGAGATGATGAATCTCAACTTCACCAACCTGAGCCACTGGAATAGCTGGAACCTGACCAACCTCACCTATGACAATGCCAGCAACTGGACGGAGTATGCAGGGCCTCCGATGCCATTGATGGAACTGGCGCCCTGGTTTGGAGTCTGTGGGAGTTGGGCTATGAGTGTTCTGAGCGCTTCTTCTTCTTTTTCGATGTAACCTCCACTAGCTAAGTCCTAACTGCCCAGGGTTCTCAGTACAGTAACTATATATTTGCTGGATTTTTGTGTATACAGCATACCTTCTTCTTCGAGAATGTGTCGGGAAGTTCGTGAGCACATCGTGAGAGTTCCAGGATCCCAGTTCATCCCGTCCGACGGGAGTTCATCCCGTCGAATCCTCGTTCTTCATGTGATGATCGATGTTTTGCTCCAGGAGGGGAGGGAAACCATTGGGAAACCAGGGCTCCACAGTTGGAGGGTGTGAAACCATTGGGAAACCATGGTGTTCAGTGCTTTAGCGGGAACTTGATGTGTTCTTTTGTTCCTATGCGGGTCACTTTTGAAGCATAGTCCCAGCTAAAATGATGCTACCAAGCTTGCCCAAGTTGGGAGCAAGTGCTGTTTGCAGCAGATTTTCTTGACCTACTGGGAGTCCGCATACATCCCCGTTTGATCACAAATGAAGCAACAAGTTTTGTCCTGATTTTGCTTAGGGTGATGTTCCTTTCCCCGATGGATGATCTTCCCAGGCACATCTCTTGGCGCCTGACATCATCGCTTACTTTGAGATGCTGACGCCCCATGGTCCAGCGGCGCCTAGCGGTCCACCAGGGCCCAGCGTCACAACGAGCAGCGCCGGTGGGCTAAGCACTACTGAGGCAATAGTGGAGCCAGGTCCAGAGCCCCCTGAGGGGCTGGGGGCTGGTATCATCGTTGTGCTGGCTGCTTGGAAGTGATAAGCTGGCTTTGTTTTTTTCAGTATGGAATTTCATGTAAATTGGGGTTGCTGCTTGCACTATGTCAAATGCTTGGGAGATTGAAGCTCTTCTTTTGCCACATCACAGCCAATTTGGGACCAGCAGCCTGCTTTGTATCAAGCAGAAGTTCCACCTGGAAAATTAACGGCACATCACTCCAGCAAGGAAAGAATGTTTGACATTGTTTGACCACGAAGTGCTGGGGCATCACGTGATCGTTTTTGGGGTCCTAAGTGGTTGGACCGTGACAGCCGAGGTTTTGGGCATCATGTGCTGCTTGGGGTCCGTCATAGGCTGGGGCCGGGGTGGAGCCGCCGATCTGGCAACATCCAGTGAGCTAGAGCGAGCTATGGCCTGGAAGGTCAAGACGGAACCTGAAAAAAACAAACAAACACGCACACACCCGGTGTGGTATTCGGAACATCGTCCATGCCAAGCCCGGTTCTGTCTCGGAACCCGGTGGCAAGTGTTTGGGACCAGTGCCTGCAGAGATTCGGGACCAGCGGGTTGTTTCTTAGCTGCGGGTGTGATCATATATATATATATATATCCCAAGCCCAAACCACAGCATGTCATTTCAATGTTTCCTTCAACCGGTCGGTGAGCGTCTATTGGCCCCAAGAGTCCAGAGAACTCGAGGACACAAGGCTCCATGTGATCCATCAAAGGCGGAAAGGTTTGCTTCACATGTTGGCGCATGTTTGCATTGCTAGGTTTGTTAGGACATCCATGTAACGAAGCCCTGGGAACTGTTTTGTTTGCCCCTATGATTGGTTGGCATTTGCAATGGAAATGGTGTACGGCATGGTGCCGTAGTGGTGGAGTGGGAGCCGTGGGACCATAGTTTCCCACGCTGAGTGTCCTGGTTCCATTCCTGTGACTCGTGTGGTTTCCGTAGCCATGGCAGTCACTGCCATCACTCCTCGGGTCTTCGGCTGCTGACAGACGAGCTGACAGACGAGGGGCGATCCGTTTGGATCCAGACATAGAGGAACTGAGAAATTCAGTCTTTGGTCGCGAAGTTCGGAGTTGGAATTTGTCTGGGTGTTTTTTTTTTTTCAGATATTGTACTTTATTGATGTTCAACCTATACTTGGAATGGTTGAACCATGTTGAACCCACTCGTTGATTGGCCAAGGGAAGTTAAAACCAACGACGAGAAGTGTGTCACCTCATTTGATGGAGAGACTTGCACAGATGTTGTTTTTTTGGTTTCTCTCCTCACCTGCGGGAAGGGCCGATGGCCAATTGCCACCATCCACTCCTTCTCACGTGGTTTTCCTTGGGCGAAGGCAACGCTCATTGGCCACTCACAGAAGAACTTACCACCTGACTTCGGACTTCACCTCCCCATGTCCCATCTCAAAGCCTTAACTCATCTTAGTTCACTGCCTATATAGTCTCAACCTCAACCTACTGATCACCAACCCAACTCTAGCCCCCACAAAAACCGCCAACTCCCTGACTCCACAGCCAGGTGTGGTCTACTACCTCTGGGAGCGGCGCCAGAAGGCCTCCGTGAAGCCCAGCCCCGGCCACGCGGCTCCCAGCCCGGTGGTCCCCACAGCAGGGCCCCCAGACAGGTCCCCGCGGCCGCCGCCGCCCAAGGGGCCGCGGCCGATGGACGAGACGCAACAGGCGCGGCCGATCGAACGAGCGGCGAAACGGGGAGAAAACGGGGGCGAGATCGGTTTGAAGGGCGGCCACGGGAGAAGATAAGCGTACCCTACACTTCCAGTCGTACCTCCTCAGAAGGTATGACTGGACCCTCCGAACCCACCCCAAACACCACCTCAGAAGGTACTTGGAGGCCTAGGGGTATGTCATATGTAATTAGATGGATGTCCGATGTTTAAATGATGCTCCATGAATTCGAAAATGCAAGCGTCTTGTTCAAGTTGGCATCGAATGATTCGAATGGCACTGAAACATGCTACAATGAAGAGATGACTCACTCAAGGAGCACGACTACTATCAGCTTTCGCAGAGGAACCTTTTCTTTGGAAGTGGCAGGCCGCGGTTCTCCTGTTCACACTTTATAAATATAAAATTTGCAGACATCAATTGCCGTGTGTGCTTCTCCTTGCTGTTGATGAAGATCTTCCTCATTCCCCCTGCCTTTGATGACTTCTTTCAAAGGCAATGCCTCGACGACCTGCGATGGCCTCGCACCCAATCCGATCCAAGCCGTGCACCAAGGCGCTTTCGGATGCCATCGAGGCTCAGGAACTCACCAGGCTCAGGGCCTTGCTGGGGGAGATTTTATTGAAAGGATGGCCCAAGAGGATCCTTGGCACCAACGAACCGCAGAAACGGGACACGGAGATTCTCGTACAGATCGCAGGGCCCCACTACGTACCTACCAAAGACCTCGTCTGGAAGCGGAAAATAGTCCAAACACCATTGGTTCATAGGGTCTCCCTATTCAAAATGATCAAAACTCAGACCCATATGCGAAGCTTTGACGCTGTTTCACCAACCCCCAACTGGCAAATATCAGACACTCCCATGGGATCACGTTTGGAAGTATTGCAGACCCTAAAGCCTTCTTCAGAAGGCTTTCCGCTGGCGGTGGCGTCGCTGTCCTGAGATGACCTGAGTTTGGGAGGGTGTTTTCTTGGAGTGGACAGCCTCAGGAAGGATGGACAAACTCAGTGGACATCTCAGGTTTTTGTTTCTCCACCCTTCATTTGAGTTTGGGAGTGGAAGGGTTTTTCCAGACGCTTTCAGTTCATTTGCCTATGGCCGCTGTGGGACTTCTTCCCCCAAAAAGCCAATCCAGCCAAGCACTCACTTCTTGTTGTCTTTATATCCTTTTAATTCTGATGTGATGATTGGCCAGCGTGCCGGCAGTGTGCCCTTGGTCGGTGAGCATTCAGAAGTGACACCGGAGGCAGCTTCCCGGTAGAACCTCTCAAACATTCTCACACTTTCCATTCTACAGCTTGGTTTGCTGTGCAATGACTGTGCAAGTAATAATGCTACGTAAATTGCCTCCGGCAAACATTTGTACTGTTTGGGAAGCCTCATCAGAGTTACCCTGTTATTAGGTGAAGCAGATCAGTGGCTAACCTTCACTCGAGAAGAAAGTGGCCTTTGTAGATTGCCCATGAGAGCTCATGTTCTTCAGATGGCAGGTGAAGGTGAAATGTTTGTGTTTCGCTTTGCGCCCGTACACGACAGAGTCGTTTTTGCGGTTTTTGGATGTTTTTTGTTTTTGTAGAGCAGGTTGTCAGAAGGTTGGTGGTGCCATGGATGTTTGCAAGATGCGCCAATCTGAGGAGGTATTCAGACCTGGTGTTGAAAGGATTGGACACCGTCGCGGCCAGGATGCACTTTAGAGAAGGAGTTGCAGGTTCCAGGTTCAAACCGTGTTTCTTTCACACGACGACAGGTATCGGCCTTGAGGTGAGGATCGTTTTTTCGCGGCGCATCCACCGGTCCTCGGGTACCTGGCGCCACCCATTGGGGGGCGCTGCTCACTCTCGGTGGCAGGAGCCAATGCGGGATTTAACCAGCTGAGTGGCAAAGGAGTAGGGTGGTCATCGAACTGGCGCCAAGCTGCAGGATTTCTCATCGAACCACTTCCACTGGCTCCCCACGGTCGAGAAAGAGCAAAGATCGAAATCACATGTCACATGCATAGGTCTTATAGGAGAATCCGGGCAGCTAGATCCATCCAAACCAGAAACCATGCAGAACCCAATGGTTTACCAAAAAATCCTCATACCAGTCTCAACAACTTCTGCTGAGACTGCCGAGATTGCTTCGAGTCGCATTGGTTGTGGCGCCCCTTCTCGCTTCGCTCGCTTCGCCCGCGCCTTACGCGGTCCGACGAGGCCAAGTTGAAGCCCTCGGCAGCCATGAGGCTGGAAGAGGCGCGGTTCAACGGTTGAACATGGAAAGGATGAACATGTAGACACACATTTGATCCGGCCGTTGAATGTGAACGTTGAACGTTATTACGTCATTATCATGTGACCCCAGACATGGGACTTATTGGGACTCTAAGTCTATTATTAGCCGCTAGCCTATATACATGGAGGTGGTATTTAAAGGGGTGAATGTTATAGGTATCACGACTTGTTCATACTGTTTCTATATATGGAACCTTTGGGGGCTGAGGATGTAGTTATATAGATTGTCTTGTATCTCATCAATCCCCTTCTTGGGTTGAACGGAGCTTATCCTACTCAGTCAGCGGATCACCATGGAGAAGCTTCCACCTTTCTATAGTCTTTCTTTTTGGAATTGGGAACGCCCTACTCAAGAAAGAAGAACCGGTGGAGTTCGTTCGGTTCACCTTGATTGCCTCCGGCATCGAGGGCAGTCGTGCATGTCGACATTGGCCATGATGAGAAGGCTTTAAAGTGATTGCCGAGGATATCCAGGCTTTGTCCTTCTCCTTTTGTCTCTCCCAGTGTTTTTTTCTTTGTCGTTTTTTGGATTTGTTTGGGGTGTGCGAATTTGATCTTCACACTTAACGTGCACCATCTAATATATAGGCATATCTAGGCACAATTGGATCGTTTCGTTGTGCCCTTCTTCGAAGCAGCGAAGAACACGCGCCATGACCGCGTCGATCCGTCCCAAACGCTCCGTCGGTCGTCGTCCAGGCATTGATCCACCCCGAGACCGGCCTCGACACCCGCCTGGCGGACGCGCGCCTGGCCGGAGTGGATCCCACGTTGCTGCGCAGGGCCGAGGAGCTACGGCAGCGACGGCAAAACAGGACGGGCAACGCCTGAAGGCCCGGGACAAAGAGGAGAGAAGAGGAGCTTAAGATGCATATATGAAAGAAAGCCTCTCCTCAGTATAGTGGAGATGTAACAATAAAGAACCATTCTGTTTGGAGATCAGAAAGATCATGAAAGATTTCTATTTTAATTATCAACCGTTTACATCAAGAGGGTTTGGGTAAGCATCATCATTTCCTCCATGCGACCTTCATTTACTTTGTTGGCCATTTTTACTTTGATATACACATTGAACTATACACTTGCAGAGTCCAACTGTCCAACTCCCACTGCGCCAGCCTCACATCGTCATCACTCCGTTGAGTGGGGCCACGCCCAGTCCCAGGCGATGCCCAGACGACCGAGGACACGCGCGCAGTTCGCACAAAAAGATGTGCGCCGTTCGTTCGGGCGGCCGGCCGTTCGGGCGACCGGTGTTCGAAAAAAAGAATTCCATGGAAAAAGAACTAAGTTGGGAAAAAGAAAAAAGGAAGACCAGGAGTCACATGGAGAGGGGAGAATTGCTAGTTAAACCTGTTAAACAAAAGCCACCCCACCGACCACCTGACCCAACAGATTCAATCAACTACCCTCCATTCGAAAACCATGCCTGAGCGAACAGCCCGACCACACCAACTGTGTCATGAACAAAGGCCCGGTCGCAGCGGCGAACTTAGCGGCTGTTTCTTTTTTTGGAGGATGTGCGGTGCATGTTCATTTAATACCATACCCAGACACTCCATGGGACAGGCATATTTGCCTACATTGGGGTGGTTGAACAGTTGAAAAGGGGTCAATTGATCGCCTATGTTTCCCGCGCAAACTAACACGCGTTAAACTAACACGAGAAACTCGGCCTCCGATCCTCCCAGCGACGGCCCAGGACTGGTTCGCCATCCCGCAGATCACCGCGCGCACCGCGGGCGTCAACGAGGACACCGTGAAGTCCGACGCAGCGGCAGCGGTGCAGAGCATCCCGGGCTACGTGGAGGCCAGACGAGTCGGCGCGGAGAGCGGGGCGGAGTCGGCTGAGCTACGTGGATGAAGAGTGGATGAAGAGCTTCGCCCAAGCTGCGGTTTCAGCAGAGGATTTGAAAGAAGTTTGGGTTTGGGCGAAGTTTCACCCGTGGACAGCAGTTGGGTTTGGTTGAGAGCAAGTTTTCTAGAACTCAGGGTGATTTTCCTCGATCTTCGTGGTGGATCCGGGTGGTTTATCATGTTTCGCTGTCGTGATGAGCGCTGCTGATGCAGATCTTTCAAGCAAGGCAGCCTAGGCAAGCTCTTTCAAGTGAGATGAAGTGAGAGATCGTCGACAGGGGATGCAAGACCTTCTTGAGAAAGGAAAGGAGGGCAGTTGTAAATCCACATAAATCCACCAATCAAATTGGTCAAAGCCAGCTTTCCCCCCATTCAAGTGCCAGGCCGCCAACCTGTTCCTGGCACTTGTCCCAGAGACGCTTGGTCTAACCGCACCGGTCGGTCCCTGTGGTCACCGGTCACCGTCCGCACCGTCGCCAGTCACCCACTCGGTTTGAGCCAGTTGCTTTGGCAAGAAAGCAGAAAGCACCCTGAGCATGAAGGTTTCTGGGCCAGTCGCCGCAAGAGTGCTTGCTTTTCACAGGACTCGCTGAGGGCCGGAGTGGTGGCCATATGACCCAGACCTGGTCACCGGTCACTGGAAGGAGTTTCATTGACATCACCTGGAGATGCGTGGCTCACCATGGGTTGAATGGGTTGACACACCCTTCAGCACCATGCTGGCTTGCGACCAAGCCCAGTGCCTCTCTACAAGGTTTCGCTCGGTCTATGGTTTTGGATGGTTTTAGTCTTTGGTTTCGCACTGGTTGCCAGCTCTAGTGGTCAGGAACCCACCCAGCCAGGACGATGGACCCAGGTCCACCCACCGGCCACCGACCTGAATGTCATTCAAAAGGTCGGTCGGTCGGTTTCCTGAAGGCCGGTCCATGAACCCTCATACTTCCCATGTGGTTGGCGGGGCATGGCGGGGCTAAGTCGAAGTTGAAGTTACTAAGTACTTATAAGTCAAAGCTAGCCAACCACCGGGCAAGTATGTCTTCTCTGAATGGATGAAGCAAACACCGTACTGTACTCCTAGACCTGCCGGGCGCTGGTTGTCGCCCGGAGAACTCCCCGAAACAGACCGAGGATCGTGCACAGCAACGGCGTACCGTGCAATTACGCGGCCTGGCCGAATGAACGGATGCAGTTCGCCCTTCCACGCGCCAGTTCGACCGGTTTCGGTGTTGAAGCACACCCAGACACTCCATGGGACTGCCATAGATGCCGATCAGGCCAGGGGTGGTTTTGGGGGTCAATGTAGGCATATATGGCAGTCCCATGGATATACACCAAAGTCGCAAGGGCGTGCAAGGATTGATTGGACACTTGATTGACTGTGGCGAGAATTAGGCTTCAACAGCCTCGAAGTTTGGGGCACTCGGCGTTTCCACGAGGTTAGCCGTGACATGCCGTGACCGACTGTTCATGGCTCAGTGAATGGATCCCTATCCACCAGATCCCTATCCAGGATCCCTATAGCTCCAAGATCCTCACAAGTTAAGGGTCCTTGGAGTTGGAAGGTCCCAGCCCCTCCGAACACGGCCTTCACCACACAGGGTCCTCCGAATCGGTGACGCCGCCTTTGCGCCGAGGCCACGTGGCTCTCCAGAGGTTGGTGCCGAGCTGAGTGGTGGTGTCACCTCCTCTCCAACAAGGTGGACTCCAGCGCCTTGGAAGGAACGGATCCAAACGGATCCGAACGGCCGATCTGTGCTGACCGGTGCTTGGAGAGAGGAACGAAGAGCTTATAGAAGCAAATGGCCGGAAGGAAGCGGCTGGCTTCGGTGGCTGGTGCACAGATGCCTAAGGAATATATAAGGAAAAGCAGCACCTGACCTTTTTATACGAAGGTAAGGGCCCAACAGGTTGTAAGATGCCTGATGCTTATACAAGAGTTAAGTTTGTAAGGAAATCCTATTCTTGAAATGATTATGGGCTGGCGCCACTCATTATTATGTAAGGCTGTCAGCTGAGCAAGGTATGATACGAACATGTTGGATTCCACAATCATTTTGTAATAGTCTTGCAACCATGTTCCATCGTCATTTTGTAGGGAACTAGGTTCTGTTTCAGATCTGGTTAGGTTTGGGATGGTAATCATGATAGTCGTCGGTCTTGGATGTCTTGGTAGCTTGGCCTGATGTTGTTTTCTTTGTAAGAGAGCCACGTGCTTTCATGTGGATGCACAGTGTCAGCCAGCAGCCAAACCATATCCTGTCTGCACACGTTGCACCAAAAAACACGTTATGCAGAGACCTTTAAGCCTTTCTGCAGAAAGGGGGTCTGGGTGGGCCTGGATCCAACCGGTATGGCTGACAGAGAGCACCAAAAAGATAGCCAGCAACATGTCCTTACAAAGCCGTCTGAGTCTTTGGTGTTGAATGGATTTGGATGAATTGTATTTGGCTTTTGGCATGCTTTGGGCAAAGATCCATAGGTAAATCATGGCAAATCTTTATTTGTACAAAATGTTAGGCAAGTCTATAACATAAAAACGCTCTTGTCTAAAAGGCCAATTTGTGCCTACATGACCTGTAATGTTGTAAAGTCAAAGTTTAGGGCATACCCCTTTTATTGGCTTTACAACTGCCAAATGGGGTCCTTGACCTGTGGGAGTAAACGGTAATATATGTTAGTAAGATGTTACTTATAGATTTGCTAGATTGTGCATGATCTGCTTCTGCTTCTTCCAAACATGCATTATGTGTCTTTTCTCAGATGCAACTTTCGGAGCCAGAGCCTCTGTCCCTTCGTTGCACGGTCAGCACGGCCCACGGCCGTCGAGGTGTCATTCTTGTCTACTCGGCCAAGGCCCGGGCGGAGCTTGAGGGGCTGAGCTGAGCTGGATGGGATCCAAGGTCAGCCCAAGGTGTGGATCTCAAGCTGTGGTTCTTGATGTGACAGCTGGACACTCACCGGCTCAGCTGCGGAACTGGCGATGAATACTTCTACTCACATCAAGGTCCAGCAGAGAGTTTACGGAAGAAGATCATAGGAAACAATAGGCAGCGAGAAAACAAGCCTCTTCATGCCTCTTCAGACTACCAAGCCTTGCGATGTCCTCTTTCAGCCTCCACCGGACCATCGGATGCACGGAACGGCCACACCTCACCTCACCTCACCTCACCTCACCGCCGCTCCGCTCCGCTCCGCCCAGGAGGCGGAGTTCATGTTTCCGCTGAATTGGCAGCATCACATCGCCCCTCGAAGGGCCGAAGGAGACGAGGGAGTTGTATGAAGGGGTGAAGGAGTGGGTCCGGGAGGCTGAGGCTGCCCTTTTCTTCAGCGGAAGTGGAGGATCCCCTGGATTTGTAGGAACATGGATGAACATGGTCTACGTATTCCACTTCGATTCTTTCAGGGAGGGTATGAATTACTTGGGGAAGGGGTGATTCATTTTTATATAAGATATATTTCCAACAGAGGAGTGACTTGCCCGGGTCGATCATTTGTGTTTTCTATAGGCGAATGACTTCCAAGACGGGAAACCCATCGGGGTGTGAGCCTTAAGTGGCTGATGGATGGAGGCTCCCCGGTCACTCCCCGGCGGCTTCAACTACCTTTGTCACACTTTGCCTTATATACCCCTAGGCCTCCAAGTACCTTCTGAGAAGGTGTTTGGGGTGGGTACCAGGAGGGTCCAGTCATACCTTCTGAGGAGGTATGACTGGAGGTGTAGGGTTAAGAAAAACAACTTCAAACGGCCCGGCCGGCTTCATTAGTGGCCAAGAATCTAGAATCTCGAGCAACGAATCGTCCCGGTTCGTCCGCTGCAGTCCAACCATGTCCAACCAGCGGGTGGTTGCACTCGCAAATATCCTGCAATCATCACGGTTATAAATGTGGAATGAGAAAAATGGCCATGGTCTTGCATGGCCATCACGGCATCACTGCACCAGTTTTCCGAAGGCAATTTTTCCATGGTTTTCCATGTGGTTTTTTCGTTCTCCACATGTCTTCACTCCATCCGTGGCTTTGGCCCTTCGCTCCTGCTCCACTCGACGGCGACACCGGGCTCGCTTCTTCCCCTCCGCCCGAGGTGTCGCGAGGGAACTTCACGGTCGAAAGCGATCGAGAGGTGGTCGTGAGACTCAGCGCCTTGGAGAGACCGAAGGGCCTGAAGGGACCGAAGGGCCGGATGCGAAGGTATCCAGGGTCAGTGGCGTGATAGAACTGACCCGTGTGCTCTGAAAAAATTGTCCTGTACTTTACGGGGGGCGTGGTGTTGGCCATGTTTTGTGGATTGTTGGGCGGTTGCACGGCTTCTTTTAGAAGATCTCTAAACCAGGTTGGATGGCGGACATCCCAGTTCGCTGTGCAAAGGGTGGCTATAGAATTTAGACCAATATATAGAATCATCGAGATCGCAAACACCTTCCCCCTTCCCTCTAATCGCCAGAGATCGCCAGCTTGGAAGGACCGTTCCTTCCTTCCTCGACTCTTCCGAAGGCGAAAAGGCCTTGGAGAGCAAGATCCGATTCCTGCACAGGCCCGTTGGCGCGCTGGCGCATGCTGGCGCCGCGTCGGCCGGAAAGCGGCGCCGAATGGGCACGTCGGGGGGGACAATCCGGTGGAGCCCCAGGAGGCCGCAGCGGGGCTCAAATCATTTAAGTTTGCCTGTGTCTCGTGGTGGATGAATCCCGTGGCTTCGCCTTCACTATATAATAAACATGGAATTCCTGCACGGCGTTTTGTTTTTTTGTTCATTTGTTTCTCATTGGATATGACTGGAAGGTCCAGTTGTATCGAGGCCCGGGCCAATGGTGTGATATTGCCCGGACCAAATGTTTGGGTGTGGCCAGGAGCTTCTAGAGAGCATCAGAATGATTTATATCAGAATTACATAGCAAAATATAGCGAAGTACAGTACATAGTACATACGAAAATCAGAGAATCACAATCAAACAATCCCTAGCACTTCGTGGACCGGAGGGCACCCTGGGTGCCCGGAGACCTATTTACTAATCGGCTTGACCAGTCTCGCTGCCGTCTCCAGGACCGGTGACTGGAGCATGTATCGCTACCTGTTGGCACAACGACCGCGGCTCCTGGCGGAGGAGACCGATGAGGGAGAGATGAGAAAGGGCCAAGGGGGGGAAACAAAGGCAAGTGGGTGTACAAATGTGGTGTTGACTATGATCAACTAGTTGGGTTGACCAGTTGACCAGTTGGGATTCATTCGTTAGGTTCACTATAGTTGGGTTCTGTTTGGAGGACAGTTTGGAAATGTTGGTGCAAATGTGACATTCAACTGTTTGGGGGGGGGGGGCTATTTTTCGCACAAACTTCAAAAATCCAGTCATAGCCGAGCCATTGGGGGAACTCCTTGACTGGGAGCCAATCCCCATTTGTAGTGAATATGCCTCATGTCAGGGTGCCATATGACCATGCTGGATGCAGACACTTACCAGCTAGACAGTCTTGAAAAAAGGGGCACTTGCCCTTCGTAGCTGCCCCGAAGCACATGTTTGAGAAACATGCCACGTTGTGATCATCGAGTGAAATCCCACGAGCGGGTCCATGACAAAGGCACCGCCATCCCTTCTAGATGTTTGAGCAGACGATTCAGCTGGGTTCTGCAAACTTTCAGTTGTGATGATTAACTTGCTTGAGAACCTTGAGAACACACCTTGGAAACCTGGTGAAACGTATGAAACAACGACAAAATCATATGAATAATATACACATATATTTATATATATATATATTCATATCATATGCAATATTTATATGTAATATGTATATCATATACACTCCCTCATTATATAGTGTGCATTCCCTTACGTTCACATGGGAACGGTTGTTGAATCATATTGAATCCAGGAGCAGCTTGGCACCTTAGTTTTCTGGGGCTCCAAGTAATACCCTTTGAGGAGGTACGATCGCGGGATTTGAGATGCCCAATGCTTGTTGCGGCGGGGATGCACCGCGCCAGGAGCCGGTGGAGGCTCCCAGTGTGGAGGACTTCTGTGAGCAGTTCCACTTCAAAAACGCCCAAGAGGCTGTCTCCAGCCCAGGCGCACGTCTGACTGGTCCTGGCGCGGTCTCTGGGGAGCACCAGTGGGTGGGAGGGAATGTTGAAGGTAGGCCAGCCACCCATAAACTCCATAGACCAGCGAACAGCATTCTTCTGTCTCCCGACAATACAATCAGATACCTTACCAACCTCTCAGCTCCTTGGCGACACAGCCCCTGATGATGGGAGGCCCCATGACGGGCATGCTGTGCGCCATATTTGCGGGCGATGTGCCGATGGTTCGGCGCTTGGTGATGCAACGATCGGACGTGACGCTGGGCGCAACCGACCGAGGTCACCGGGGTCGTCGGGGGCGTCGTTGGAGGCGTTTTTGGTCCCAGACACGACCGATGTGACTCTGGAATTTGATGTGCCTCCATGAACCCCTTTCCATATAGCACAGAAGGGTCCGGTTCCGGGCCAATGGAGGCTGGAGGCTGCGCCGGGTGCCGTTATCACGAATCACAATTCTGAGGCCCACTAAGGGGATGAAATGCCTCAGACATCAAGCTGTCTCCTACCAACCAAGTCTTCCAGAAGAGCAGACCCTGTGATGGATGGCAGGCAACTCGCCTTTGTGGTTTGTGGGTGGGTTGCAAACAGGTATAACCACCTATCCAGCTGCTAAAGAGGGTTAGCCAATTAGGATCAACCGCGGCAGGCGACCAAACAGATTATTCACCGTAGATCAAAATGCATTTGCTCTTTGGACTGCAGACTGAAACACACAGACACACACACACATGCACAATAACACAATTGTAAGATTCCAATGGAAGATCAATTCAACCTGTGACGGCGCCTGCCACCGGGCGGGGGTCTTTTTCGGCGCAGCCTGCGGCGCTCACGCGAGGAACGCCCGGGTGAAGGACTTGGGACATTTGGGCTTCTTCGACACACAAAGCGCCCTGGAAAGATGACGGGGCTCCAGATGCAACCGGGGAGTGGCGGACTCCAGAGGTTCTTGTTGAGGTCTTTGAAGGCGTTCCAAGCAAGAAGCCATGGTCAACAAACAGGTGCCCATGTTTTACAAGATTTCAAGGAACCTAGGAGTTGCCTATGATTTGACAGTTCCTTTTTAGTTGTTGCTGCTGGGTTGTTTCACGCGTTGTTTGTTGCCCCCTGTCGGAGGGCAGAGGACATTGTGCAGACCCACGGGCACATGGATCATGTCGAGTTGTCGCACAAGGAGCGTACCTATAGTTAGTGGGGGACAGCCTTGAAGTTTTTTTGGGAAATGGTTGCCAAAATGACTATGACTATGCTAATTTTTGTATAATATTTTTTACTCAATGTTCTTAGACGAATCAAGAGAACAAGTGGAAAGTTTGGTTAACCTTTGTTTTGGGAAACTGAGGAAGTGAGTGGTCCATCGCACAAACCAAAAAATGCACACGGTGCCAGCGACAGAACCTTGAAGAATGGGTACTGCACATGAAAAAGGTTCTTTTTGCTGTACTCGAGAACGCCCAGCAGGACTTTGAAGGTGTTCCTTTCCAGTGTTCATCAGACACCATCAACCATCATCAACCTTTGTCCCCCACGGAGATTGGATGACAGAAACGCTTGAGTTCTTGTGGTTGAGCCTGAAAAACTCCAGCTTGTTGCCAAGACGCGCCAAATGCCAAGGCAAGTCTAATGCTACCACCAAGTTGCTCCTTGAAAGGTCTGGTTTCGAGTTCGGTGGTAGTTGCAACTCACCTTTCACATGCTGAGGCCTCCTGATCTCAGCCACCAAGTCGAATCAGAATGCCAAGATGCTCACCACCTTGAGCCTTTGGCGTCCTCCGTTTTGGGGGCCAGGTCTCAGATCTCGGTTTTCTCAGTGGGTGGAGTCCCCTTGCTTGGACGGGTCCCAGCGATTTTCCCCGCGTTCTGTGACATTCTGTGACTTTTTCTTGACCCAAATCAGAGTTTATTGCAGGATCATCCAAGTTCGGTGCTTTTTGGACACCCCGAATCACCTCTTGACGAGTCTAGCCAGTCTAGTCCATTCGACACGTTGTAGAGTCGGGTCCTGGTCTAGGTGCTGAGAGGTTTGGTTGTGTGGAAGAAGCCAAATCCGAATGTTGAACCCCCGCAGAACATTTTCCCAGTCTGCGCGGCTGCGGACCCTAAGAAACCATGAAAGCCATGCGCATCTGAATCAGCGGAATCTTGGCGGCCCTTCGGTCCCTTTTGTTCCCTACTCGCTTCCGGGGAAGTACAGGCTGGTGAAAAGCAGGTCTTCCTCCGCTGGACATCCGGAGGGTCTTCCCTCCACACGCAGCGTCCTTGCGTCGAGGATCGAGCTGCGCGCGGACGTGGAGCTCCGCAGCCGAGTGGGCGTCAACTGTGCCTTTGTGCCTTCGGCCGAGCAGGGCGGGTCGCACTGTCTCAAGCTGGAAAAGAGGTGAACAGAGTGCCATGTCCCTGGTTTGGCTCAATGAGATGTTCTATTTTCCCATATGTTCCTCACTGGGGGAAGGACTGTCACTGTGAGGATTCTTCCCTGGTGCATTCCCGTAAAGATGGAGGCAGGTGATTTGGTGATGCCTTGGACAAGAGGATCCGACCCAGGAAGAAGGATGAAGAAGGTGTGTATTTTAATACTGTGGTTTCTACAATCGCATTTTATGAACACCCCATGACAATAAAACAAAAGAAGAGGATAATGATCTACCTTTTCTTCACCATTTTTCAACTACTTCAGGGGGATTGACGAAAGCACCAGGGAAGTGGGGAAGTGGCTGGGGAGAAAACTGGATCCAAGGGAACCCACATGAAGAAAAACCCTTGGTGATGCCATGGTGCAAAGCAGCAATATGGAGGCTGACACGAGACCTGCAAGAGATCAAGTGTTAGTTACTGTAATAGCACATAGCATCACAGAACTAGAGACCTAGCGCTTGAATTGAAATGGATGTCCAATGGGGACCTTCAGTCGTGTAGGGTTGCTAGGAGGACTGGAGAAGACCGGTCAACGCTCGGTTCGCTGTGCGAAGACCAAGTCACCACTCCGACGACATCCGTGTTGGGTGGATCCAGGTGGCGCGAGCCCCTGAACATGTGGAAGTCTTCCTGATGCTCGGGCGGTCTTGGTGGGGCTGAAATGGGAGGTTTCGGAGGGGAAACCCATGGTGCACCTGATTACGCAGCAAAGTACACATAGTGCTCCACTATATCACCATTGTCCACTTCCATGATTGTTGAAGGGAGAGGCTCCATAAATAGGTGAGTGACCAGCAGTTACTGTCGATGGCATCAATGGCCACCCAATCAGATTCAAGGAGGAGATGCCAAGAGTATCCTTCCTGAGGTTTTATGGATTACACCCTGGAAGATTAACACGGAACCTGAGAACCACTTGGTTATAGAGGAAAATTGTCTTCCAACGGTCCGTTTTCGGGTTCCATGTTAATCTTCCCGGGTGTATATGCTTCTGTACACAGGTTTTCCGATGTCAGCTTGTTAAACATGGACATGTTTTGAAAGAGACTGATCAGGAGAGGCACGGAGACGCAACCTGAGTAGTGTGTCTTATTGTGTGACTTCCAATGACTCATCAGAAACTCCACCTGGGATTCTAAATCCACCACTACCAGGCCAGAGTAGTTCATTAGTCATGACTGGATTCTCAGGGTGCCATTTCTATCCCAACTCGTTCGATACGTATATCCTTCACCTGCGAGTCGTGCCCAGGAAGGCTCGAGCAGATTTGCATCTTGGAAGGAAGAGCATGTGGAGATATGCGTATATGCCCCCGCGGGAGCCCCTGCCCTATAGGTAATCCGAGGCACACGGAGGGTGATAGCTTGATTATCAGACCTAATCCGCAGAGTGTTTGCGGAAGGGACTCTTGATGAATAACCCTCCTAGTTGACCAGAATAGCATACAACTTCAGACTTGCAAAGTAATGTAGACTGCTTATGAATGGAACCCCCCACTTGATGGGCAATCTTCAGGCTTTGCGAGGCCTAGGCCTCTTTCGGCCGAGTCACCGAGGCATTCCCCGTGCATGCCCATGGGTTTGACGCCCCTGACTGGGGCGGTGGTCTGGCCACTTGGTCATACTTGGTCTGCCCATGGGTTTCAGGCGCAAACGCGGGCAACAGCTGAAAAGAACATGGAAAACACACTGCTCGAGCCGGTTTGACCCCTAGTCAAAAAGCACTGAGAGGCGGGGCGAAATGGCACGAGACGGAAATTGAAGTCAACTGGACTCCATTTCGGCAAAACCAGGCATATCAACCTTTAGACTCTGCAGCAGCAGCAGCAGCAGCAGTAGCAGTAGCAGTAGCAGTAGCAGCAGAAGGAGCAGCAGCAGCAGTAGCAGTGGCAGCAGTGGCAGTAGCAGTAGTAGTAGTAGCAGCAGCAGGAGTAGTAGTAGGAGGAGGAGGAGGAGGCAGAATTACAGCAACAGGAGGATCCTTTGGACAGCCTGGGAGGCACCAGGGAGGCAGGAAAGGAGTAACTGGACGGCCTGCGAGGCGCCAGGGAGGCACCAGGGAGGCAGCTTTGTTGGTCACATACCGTGCAAACATCATGAAACATCTTTGGCGACAAGAAACAAAGGATCAACGCATACTGTACTGCGCATATCTTCTTGACAATCCAGTTGTACCCGACAACTAATACTGCACAATACATTCTAAGGTACTGGGCCGATCCAACTATACCCCAGACACTCCATGTATGCCATATTTGCCTACATTGGGGTGGTTTTGGGGGTCAATGTAGGCATATATGATACATGGAGTGTCTGGGTACTGTACTGACAATCCAGTGGTTTTTCCAGTGGCTTTGAGATACCTTTTGTTGGTCACTCACTCGTCCTGTCCATCGTTTGCAGGTCCTCCACCGAAACCGTGATGGCCATGCACCTCGGTGATGCGGGCGCCCAACTTCTGGTTGGTTTCTTCCAAAAGCGACGACAAGGGTCTTGTAGTCTTGTAGTGAAAGAAGGAGACCAGATGAACAAATTAGATGAAACATGAGCATTATACCTCTAAGACATGAAGATTGCGAGGTCATGATGCAGAAATGCGGATCCCCAAACAGAGGATCACTGCAGACAGACATGGACGACAACTTCAAGGCAATGACTCATTGGGTTGGATTTGAACCCAACAAAGGTAGGTTCTTGTTGATCCTGGTTTCTGGGTGTCCATCGGTTTCCACGTTCGACCTCTTTTTGGGAGGCCGGTTGCACAGAATGACCTCTTTACTTTATCGGTCCGGTTCCTGGAGCCTTGAGCTCACAAGATCTATGCGGGTTGGGCAAGTTTGGGCTTTTGACCAAAACATCGCGTAGATTTACCCTTGCATTGGGCCACGATGCCGAACACCAGGGGGCCCTTAGACCTAGCGAAAGGGATTGTCAGGTTTATAGTTGTTTAAACTGTTTTGTTGGCATGTATAAGGTTTCATTTTTTAATACGCGTCGATCAAGTTGTTTATGTATACCGGTCGTTATGTACATAAGCAACCAATCTGCCGAGTTGTTTGTCCAGTTCTTTTGTCTCAGATTTACCTGAGGCCTTTTTCTCAGACATTTGTCGTTGCATTGCGATGTTGCCTTGAATTGTCTCTGTGTTGTGTTTGTAAACAAATTCAAAAACAATTTGATGTGTTCATTTGCATGAATGTTCTTGGTTTGATGTGTTCCTTTTCGTCTTCCAAAATGCCTCCACATGACTACAGCAGTCCGGCTGCATCGTTCTCATGATTCCCTTTCCGTGGATCGCAGCAGCGCGGTTCTGAGACCTGTGAGGTTGGAAGCTCGCTGCGATCCCAATCCACCTCATTTGGGCGTGCCTTACACTTCTTTGGGCGGACTGGGAGGGGAGGGCCCTGAAGAGGAACCTGGGATTTGCATGGAGTTTGATGTTCCACTATGCAAATACAAAAGTGTAAAAGTTAGCGTGTGTGTCGTTGGGCACAAAAAGAGGCCAAGTTGATTGATAGATGAAGGGTTATGGAATTGTAGAAGTGGGTATAGTTCCTTCAAGTGGTTTGTCAAATACTACTCTTCAGAAACTATTCTTCAGATACTATTTCGCGATCGTCAGAAACTATGTTGCGATCTTCAGAAACTATTTCGCGATCTTCAGAAAATATTCAGAAACTTTTTGGCGATCTTCAGAAACTATTTCGCAATATTCAGAAACTATTTCGCGATATTCATATTTGTTTGCGATCTTCAGACACTTATTTGCATGCCTTAGAACGTATTCTTCAGAACTTTTACACTATGTTATAATCAAATTGCATGAAGGAGCACTGGGGGTGTGGTAGTTGGGTGGGGTGGCGGGTGGGGGGGTGGGTGGGTGGGACGAGGCGACTTTGCCGTGGGAAGTGAATGTTTCTCGTTTGGAGCTTTCCACGGAGATTGATTGGAGACCACCGGAAAACGACCGAACAACCTCGGGTGGGCTCCTCAACTTTCCCCAAAACCAAACACAATTCACTCCAAACAATATTCAATCAACAAACCTCAGGTCGACCATCCCCTAAAGCCTCAGGCATTTGGGGGAGGCATGGGAGGCACAACAAACACCAAGCACGGCGGTTTTTTCGATCTTTTCCTCAGACCAACAGCGCCCGACCAGGCCGGCTACGGACCACTGCATGGCTTGACCTTCTTGGCCCGCTCGCGATTGGACTCGCGGAAGATCGCCGAGACGTTGATCGCCCACCGGGCAGACGTGATGCCTGGTGGAAGAGATGGAACTGAGCGCGGATGTTGGAACAGAGGTTGCCTGGAGTGTTAAGTTGAAGTATATATGTTGAAGTATACCAGCAACTCAGTTTTTGTGTGATACTTGGTCGGTTTTTCTGAAATAGGTGGGTATTGATGTGCTCCTCATAACGTAACGGGTGGTGCATGTTGTCCATCCCAATTCGGGAGAGCACCGAGGGGACGAGGGTGTTAGACGAATCTGTTAGCGTCGTAGGTGGATGATGGGCCTGATGGGACCTGGACCGGTGAAATGGGATCTTCTCCTGACAGCCTCACGTACGACGTACGTACGTGGGGGCCCGGTCTAATCCACGAACCGACTGAAGCGACTTTGGTGGACCCTGGGAGTCCAAGACTAGTTTTAAAGTTTTAAAGGTTATATAAAAGGGTTTCTGAGGTGACTCCAAAAAGCTTCAAGCGGAACTGTCCTTTAAATTTCAGTGGGGCACAGAAACCCTCCACGTCGTTCGATGGATGTTTCCCGAGGAATACGCGGGCAGCCCCCAGTGGCTTGGTGGGCTTCTTGTCGGCTGCGTCCAGGCTTCATGCCGCAGCGGTGGGCCACATGGAGCAAAAGGGAGGTGCGGGTAGATCGGTGGAGGGTTCTGCCTACAAATACTGTACCATGTGGTGCCTAGAAGCCAGAACCAAGCTAGAAGCCAATGATCCAGAACCATGCAGATGTCAACCCAATTGAAGTGACCGTTTTTTTCAATGCAACACTCTTCCTGCCTTCGCGCTGAGGCACTGAAACAATTTCATCCTTGAAAAAGACCTTGATCTCTTTACCAGGCGACTTGGACACTGGGAGAAGGTGGGTGCGGCTTGGAAGCCTTGCGAAGGCTGAGGGAATGTGAGGAAGACCGCAGTGCTGCGGCAGGCTTTGAGTGCTGGAACAGGCCAGCACAGGCCCTGACTCAACGGATTGGGAGATCCAAACTTGCTGTGCATCAGACATCTGGAGGTGGTGCCAGACGCTCCAAACAACCCTTGGTCTCTCAAAACCTAGGGATTGGTTCTGTGATTCACCAAGTTCTGCCCACACACCGCCCAAGCTGCATAGC